GGTTTGCCATACGCCGGGTCCAATAGCTGCTGAATGGTATCGACGGCTTTGGGGTCCAGGCTAAACGACGGCGCGGAAACCGGGTTCTGATTCTGGGTCGCGCTCATCCGTCTCCGCATCTGCGCCTCGGGATTGATGCGAGATGCCTGAGATTGATCTAGGTCCGATTCGTCAGCAACGCACACAAGATCTAGCCATGGCAGACGAACAGATAAGATGCGGCATGTGCTGCCCTTGCTCCAGATCGACGGAGCGTTGGGATGGCGACAAATTATCCCGACGGTCCAACCCATCCGGCAGCTGGCCCTGGCTCGCGTTTCGCGGCCTCGCCGTCGTCCCGTCTTCCGACGAGTCTGCGGACGATTCGGGCGTAGGTTTGTTGGCTTCCATCTCCGCGCGAGATTTCCTAAACCTGGTCAGCTCCGGCGTCCAGCACAGCTGCCCTTCTCGGACTCAGACTGACTTTCTCCGTTTACTCTCCGTCACGATGCACTCGACCTGGTCCAGACGGCAATTGGTGCAGGGCGAGCCATTCTCAACCACGTCGCAGCGGACCTTTCTTGCACGACAACAACAGCAGGCCCGGGAGGCGCGTCGCTTGATGGGACGATTGGCGCCGGGCAACCCAGCGGTGGACGCCTTCCGCTTATTCTGGGGTTCAGTCTCCGTAGGGCCGGTGGATGCCATGGTGAAGGTGTCCCGGAGACGGTCTCATGCGATCAGGAGCGACAGAGAGGACATGCACAGGCACGGCGGGACGAAGGGCGCCTACGGGGACGTCCGTGGGAGGAAGCTGGCGATAAGATTCTCTCGTCTCGCAGACGAAAACGACCCGGGGGCGGGGCGCGGCCTTTAAGTACGCCAATATTCTCGAAAAACGATCCCCATGCCCCAAGAATCTTCACACAGCCACCAAGACTCGCGGCGGCGCAGCTGACTGGCCGGCCGTGGGCTCCCCCGGACCGACGGGTGGGCAGCTGTGGGTATGGAGACGGAGGAATGAGGCCAAGATGGAGAGCTCAGTCGCGCGCCGGGCCCATCACCGGCCGTCCATTACATCGGCCTACGGCGGCGAGTCCGCTTCCTGGGGGAAGCTTTGCTCAACGCAGGTGGCTTCCCCACCAGGCAGGAAAGTTCTTAGTTGAGGGATTATTATTTGGCCAGGTCGGATGCCCCACGAGCGACACTAGCAGGACGTTGCAGCGGTACTCGGCCCGGTCACGTTGTCAGGCTGCCGACGGACGGGCCAGACGGCACGGATTACAAACACCTGCCAGAGGATGGCACGCTGCAGACGAGCGGAGAGTTGTTGAGTTGGAGACGGGGACGTTCTCTAAGTCTCTGTCAATGGGTATGCTGTCAAAGTTTGCGCCCCACCGTGCAGTCAGGGGCCTTCACCTTAGTCAACTCGTACAGAGCGCGCCGGAAGAAGACGCGGCAACCACGCTGCCTCTCGATGCTGAGTGTCCGTATTCTGGCAATGCGTCTCGGAGCATTAATGGTCTGGCGCGCGTCAGCGTCATCTGAGCCCACTTTGCAGTGTGCACTAGTCGTGTGTGTGCGCGAGAGATCGAAGCGCAAAGAAAGCCAAGGCGGACTAAACCCCGGCGGGACGCACGGAAAATCCCTGGGGCAGGGCACATGGAACGCGGTCCCAAGGCACGCCCACCACCCATTTCTGAAGACGGGCGTCACCGCACAATGATAAAAGGCGTCGAGAGCCAGAGAGACTGACCGCCGTGTCGCGCACCGTGGGTGCAGGCTGCTGCCGCTGGCAGATGCCGTGTGTGGTCACTCTGGTGGGCGCCGAAGATCGTCTCCGAGTCCCGAGCGCTGCTCCACCCTCCCGAATCCGGAACGAGCCCCGGCATCAATCAGGCAAGACGGAACGATTTCCCTGTCGTGGACACGAGCATGCTCAGTGGGCATTCCAGACTTTGCAACTGTGCATTGTCACGCTGTCAGATCAGATGTCTTGGTGTGCCCGAAGGATTCACAGACGCATAGCTCCCACTCTCTCAGATTAGATAGAAATGACGGCAGCGTGACGATTGCTGCACGCCATTCCATCTGATCGACTCCGATCCCAGGCCTGTGGACTGTCTGTGGCGACTGGCGAGATCGCCCGCCGGGGGACTTCGGCCTGTCCGAAAATCGGCCATTGCCCCGATCGGGCTTAGCGCCGCGCGACTGGACCCGTGACCTGGCCAGCGTCTCCAGCGGCGATTTCGCCTTAATAATGGGCAGTCCACCGGACGCAGCAAGAAGCCTGTGCAGAGTCTGGCAAATTATCGCGGCAGCAGCCTAACTATTGAGTGGCTGCTGTGGCCGGACCGAACTCCGTGAATCGAATATCGGCCCTTCCATCCTCCGAAATGCGGAGGAATCAGCCCGTCTGCTCGAGTCGGCTACAAGCGGACGTCCGCCAGCAGGGGAAGGTGCACCAGGGGTCAGCGAGTCCTTTCGAGGCGTGGGCAGCGACTTCGAGACGGTGCGGAGTAGCGTTTTTCATTCGCCACGATGGCGTGGATGCCGCATCGGGCTTCTGAGCGGGGGCGGGTTGCCCCTGCCCCTTTCGTCCGAAACATGGGGTATGAGGTAGCTCGTCGCGCGCCCGGCCAATGACAGCGCTGCAGTAGTTGGCAGAATCACCCATCGCTCCTTCTCCGTCTGCTGTCCGGATGACTCCGTACCCCACCTGCCGTGTCTGATCGTCTGCTAACCTGCCCGCGGGCATCGAGTCTGGAGGTTGGGGTGCTGCAATCACGTGCTGAGTCTATCACATGCAGGCCAATGAGCTCCGGGTCACGAGTCGGAGCAGAAATACGGAGTGACTCCTCGACCAGCGAATCCGATCGCCCGCCCCGTTTGCCTAGTTGGGATTGCCACTGTGAGCGGCATACTCCGTGCTTCATCTCTGCCCTGTGGCTCCTATCACAAGATTTGCAGCCACACACTACTGGAAAGCGTTCTAGAAGATTCATGTCCAGATGGCAATTTCCATGTGACTGCTCGTGGTCTATTAACCTCTACAAATGCCAGTTTCCTTCTATGCCATTCTGCGCGTCCTATCTTGGTTGATTTATGACAGGAGCAGGCATATGCCAGACGTGTGGGGACGCTGCGGGGAATATGAGCTGTACCGCCTCACTATACATACGTTGATTATTACTAAGTCATGAATTTATAGCTTCTCCTTATTGGCAATCAGATACGTGGAGTAGGTACCTATTCTACCTAGAGAAGCTCTACGACCTTATCATTAAATCAATCAATCAATCTAGTCCATTTGCCACATATTAAGTCCTTCTAGGTCAGGTCTAATAGGTAGGATGCTAGATAATAATAAACAGGCTATGTGCCTACTTTATCTATCGCAGCAAGCTTCAATACGAACACAAATACAACTATCTCCCCCACACAGACGCATCATACCCATCCATCGACCGCGTATATTCCTCTCCAGCACTCACCCACCCCTTGATCCCTCCCTCCAACACCAGACTCCGTATAGACGTGTTGCCTTGCTCTTCGAGATAATCCGCAAACCAGCCTGCTGCTCGCGGACCCCGTCCACGTGATGAGCCTGCAAAAAAAATACCTGTCCTGAGCATGTAGTTCTTAACAGAGAAAGGCTGCTAGCACTTACCACAATACCAAACAACGTCTCGAACCTGCGTCTGGGAGAGAATCGAGTAGAGGGTGGGGATGGCCAGGTACAGACTCTGCGCAGGAAGATTCAATGAGCCGTGGATGGTTCCTCCCTATATACAATAGGAGAGTTTGTGTTAGCATAACCATTACTACTTACGATGTACTCACCGACTGAAGTATTTATTGTCTTTAAAAGCTTGCAGGTAGTAACTAGAATCGCACTGTACATACCTCAAAATCACTCCTCCGCAGATCAACGAGGACAAAATCCTTGCCAACGCGCTTTCTCTCGTCTTGGAACCATTGGAGCAGCTCCTCGCGAGAGAGCGAGGGAGCTACGTTTCTGGGAGGAGGATACGCTGCGTACCATGGGACTTGGGCTGTTTCGTTTTTATTGCTGTTTGTCGTCGAGGGGTTGTCCATCAGGAGAAAGAACTAGGAACTGACGAATAAAATAAAAAAATAATATGGTATCGATACGAGAATATCAAAAGAGGAAGAGACACTGACGGGACAGATAAATTTATAAATTATAAATAAATATGTAGTAGCCGGATAGAATAGAACTTTTTTTTTGCACTTCACTAAATGTGTATGTGCATACAGTAAGCAACTCAACTCGACTTTATCGACAGACATGGACTGCAAATGTAGTATGTCACTGCAGGATTCCTATTGGCTGGAGTATACATCCTGTGCCAGCCAATAATCGTCGTAAGCCTAGGTGCCCTGCCCGTCTAAGCCAACTTTCCCTTTTTGAACATATCCTACCAGAGTAGCTGGACAGAGAGAGAAAATAATGAGATAAGAAGGTGTTAAGAAAGGAGCAAGCAGCATGAAGAAGAAGAAGAAGAAGAAGAAGAAGAAGAAGAAGAAGGATTATCAAAGCTGAATCGGAATAAAATAAAATAAAATTGATAAAAAAAATAGGACCTGATAACAAGCATTGATCGGATGATTATATATATTGGAAGTTGGAAAGATCATCAACACTCGATGCAGTCTATACAACGGCTCGATGTTATTATGAACACATAGTAATTTTTTCGTTTTCATAGATACTGTATGTCACTGGGCCTAGATCATATCACCGGCACAGAACCCCTTGGAAAAAGTAATTAATCAAAGCTTAGGTAGTTAGTTAACTTAGTTAACTGCGCTTACATAATAAGACGTGCTGTAACGTAATGCACAAGAAAGTGACGCACCCAACTAAGTGACGCACCCCCCACCCATATATAATCTTTTATTTTTAATAGCAACCACAATTTTTAATAAAACACCTAATATATATAATTAATCTGATTAAAAACTCTGTGGGCACAGCAGTATGCTCATATGATTTACATACACTACATCGCGAAGGGGCGCGTGTCTTTGGCTGAGAAGATGAAGCCTCAACTACCTCTGGAGCATCCTTTTGAATAGTTTCTGTACGACGTTGCCCTTCCTGTATAGTAAGAATGCCTCCCTGAGATACCTGAGCAGTTGACCTTATTCGCTTTTGTTTTTGTTTCTCATTTGCAGCCCGTAATTCTTGGTTTTCCCTTGCAAGAATGACTGCACTATGCATGGCCATTTGGCAGCCCTTAATAAGCTGATTTAAAGCCCGATCTGTAGGACTTGGAGGACTGTGCGTGCGACATTTGAGTAGGGCTTTGATTGTCTCAGATTGAAGCTGCAATTCTTCAATATTATGAGGTGTCTCAGATACCCAAGGGGTTTGTGGATTGCCCTGGCTGGTACCAGGGGGTGTTGGAGTCTTCATCTGAACATGAAGCCGAGAAAGAACCTGATCAGGCTCGTATGGAACCAATCCAGTGGCTGCAAATCCCTTGCGAATATTCTCTGATTTGAATGCCTCCATGCGAGCTTTTTGGTATGCAGTTAGGAAGTCTGTCTTGTCGATATGATTGATCCCAAGCCGCATACTCTCTTCAACCAAGCCACCGTATGACCTCTTTAAAACTAAAAAACAGCCCACATCTAGGGGTTGTAGGAGATGCAAAGAATGGGCTGGCAAGCAAAGAGGTATAATAGAGTTCTCAGTGCAAAAATGGTCAAATTCTGGGGTTAAATGGCTCCCATGACCATCAAGAATCAACATCCGATACCTCCCCTTTGTATGGTCCTTGGTATGTCGATCAAAAACCTCCTTTAGCCAGAGTAATCCAAGTTGATCACTAGTCCAGCCATTCTACTGACTCCAATGACCCAATCTGGGGGTAGTTGATTATTTTGAAACCATGCCGCTTGATGTGTTTTCCCCGCAAAGATAACTATAGGTGGTAGAGCCCATCTGTATGAACTGACTGCTTCAATCACTGTGACCCATTCGCGATTCCCAGGCTGCATATGAACTGGACGACCAATATTCTCAGCCCTAGTAATGACTCTTGCAGTTGCAATTACCCCCATTGCAAAGCCAGTCTCATCAAAGTTGTAGATATCTTCCTCCACAATCCCATACTGCTCAATTGCTTGTCGTACACACTGAAACCATTCTCGAATGACCTTCGGATCTTCACATTGGGCTCGTTGATAGTTGTATTTACGAAAATATTTGGTTTTGAGCTCACTATGGCGGTTGAGAAAGTTGTGAACCCAATTTTTGCCAACAGTAGGTGGAGTAGCTGATTTACCCCGCTCAGCAAGAAGAATATTGGCCATTTGTCGTACAGCATCAGGCCTTGGAGGGAGTTGATCCATAGATATTATCCATTGAATAAGAGATTCCTCTTCAGTGGGACTCAATTTCCGCCGTATATGTGCAGATTCCTGTCGTGTAGTGCGGCCTTTTAGTCGGCGACAAAAGAGTAGCTTCAGGGACATCGTACGAGCTTGCAGCAGCTCGTAGACTTGGAAATTGACCTTTTTTGAATGCTTCCATAGCTAATTTATTCCCTCTTTATAAGAGCTTTTATCTGTAGATTTGGTGGACATCTTGGTGGTTGTTTTGGGAAGACGCGTCGCGTGTCGGTAGGTGCGTCACTTAGTTGGGTGCGTCACTTTCTTGTGGATTACGTTAGTTATTAAACGAACCTAGAAATTCGAGTCAGAGGGCTTTAGAGAAATTGCCAACGAAAAAGAAATAATTATGAATCTATAGACTCAATTAAGATATTGTAAACAGATAAACGGTTGTACTGTACAAATGCAGTGTCTGGTGTTTATTCTTCTAAATTCAACCTTCACTTGTTTTATACAATTCCCTTATACGGATAGCAAGGCAAATATCCAGCAATTCTCTATATATGGAACAGTTTATAAAAAAGTTCATTGCGTTTAACACGGGTATTTTATTCCATTCGAAACATTCCACTGAAATGGTAGAAAAGCCTCCAATCCATAGCTTCTAAGACACGGTACAGCACTTGATTTATTTGTCTTGGGCATATACGTCATTTCTCATCGTCGCGACTCTACGCTCTCTCCTCACCGACCGTCTCATCGCTGCCCTTTTCATGGTGCTCCTTGTGCGCTTTGCTTGCCTGCCGGACAGCTGCGTCTTCCACGTCGTCGAGACTGCGCAGCAACTCGCCGTTCTTGCCGTACATGTGCGGCTCGTTCTTGGTCGTCTGCACCAGCGTGAAGATGCTGGTCGTCTTCCTGAAGATCCGGTCCATTTCTTCCAGGGAGCGGCGGGTCGTCTCTGGGTAGAAGAACCAGACGATGGGGAAGATGAATGCGTTGCTGTGCGGTCAGTTAGTTGGTTTTGATTGATTACTGTGCAATTTTTGGGTGTAGCGAACTCACATCACCGCGAAGATTATGTACGTCCGGTAACCGATGTTGTTAAAAGCCACCGGCGTGATCATCACCACCAGAAAGTTGAAGATCCAGTTCGACGACGTCGACAGCGCGTTGGCCGGGGCCCGGATCTTCAGCGGCACAATCTCCGCCGGGTACAGCCAGGTCATGCCCAGCCAGCCGATGGCGAAGAAGGTGTTGAACACGAATAGGAACACGGCGCACGCAATGCCGGCCTGGGTGTTGCCGATGCTGTCCGTGATGGCGAGGATGACCATGGAAAGCGACATGCCCGCCGCACCGAACAGCATGAGCGTCCTGCGCCCGAATCTCTCGACGGTGAACACGGCCACCCACGACGCGAGGAAGTATTCCGTGCCGTTGCACGCGGACACCAGCCGCGCCTTCACGTTGCTCAGCTTGACCTGGTTCTCCAGCAGGATCGGGATGTAGTACGTGATCAGGTTGATGCCGGAGATCTGCTGGAACATCTGGTTGACGTAGGCCAGCACCGTGCGGTGGAAATGGCGATCCTCCGTCATGGTGAACATGTCGCGGAACGAGCCCTTGGACATTTCCAGAACAGTGGCCTTGATGGAGGTGAATTCGGTGTCGATGTACGTGGGATCCGCAGCGCCGCCCATCAACACAGCCAGAACCTCTCTCGCTTCGTCTTCTCGGCCCTTGAGGATGAGCCATCGGGGGGACTCTGGGAGGAAAAGGACAAAACTGAGGATGATTAAGGCGAAGAAGACCTGGAAGGCCAGCGGAAACCGCCAGGCAACCGAGTTGGGGTCGGCAAAAAGCAGGCCAAAGTCGATCCAGTAGCTGATGGTGATGCCGCAAGTGATCATGGCGCCTTCGATCATGACCATCTGGCCCCGGCGATGGGATTTGCAGCACTCGGATTGCCAGGTGGGCACGGTGGAGGTGTTGATACCGTTGCCTGAGAGCTAATATTAGCAACGCCCGATTATTTCTTCGTCAAAAATCGTCCTACCAAATCCAGTGACGAGTCGACCGACGATCAGTTGGGCGAGACCGCACGAGGTGCACTGCAGGAGCGCCCCGATAACCATGATGAACGAGCCGAGGAAGATGGTCCTCCGCCGTCCCAGCCAGTTGCCGATCCAGATGGTGGGAATAGAGCCCGCGAAGCATCCCAGGTTGTAGGCCGCGACCGTGATGCCTTGGCGGGTTGACTGAGTGCTTTTTTCGGGCGTGCTGAGGCTGTCCCAGTAATCGCCGCTGGTCGCGATGGTCGGAAACACGGAGATGAAGGACTGCAGAGACAGGAGACCGCCTGTGACACCCTGGTCGTAGCCGAAGAGCAGGAAGTCCATGCCGGCGATGACGCCGACAGCGATTTGCAGCTGCGTGCCCTGAAGGCCCAAGAACCGCTTACCTGCCATGTTGAACAGACATAGGGCTCGAGACGAAAGGCAGAAATGCAGGAATGGAAAGAGGGGGTTGATGGGTTTAAAAACCCTCGCACAAGTTACATGATTACTGCCATGATTGATTTTCTTTTCTGACTGGATATCGATGTTGGTTACAACGATAATCCCCTGATCCAGCGGATTGTTCTCTCCGCCCGTCACGATCCACGGCCAAGGGCGGGCTTCCCCACTGCTCCGCCCAGCAGATGCAAGACGACGTAATCTCCTCCGGATCGTCGGGGGCCGACCGGAACCGCATAAGTCAAGGCGGCCCTCCACAAGGCTGAGGCTGAGGTTGAGGCTGAATTCGCAGGCGCCTAGCCTGGTCTGGAGAGCGTGGGGAAGAAGTATGTGCTGTAATATGTATGTATGGAGTGCAGTATGTCAGATCTGACATTCCCATCAAGGCAAGTCCGAGAGGACGAATAAGGAAATGAACCAGCCAGAAGAACTGTGGAGAAGGAAGGGGTTTTGTCTGTCGCGAGCCGGACGTCCATTGACAAATGTCCTATGAGGTGGAACCCATGAAAATCAAAATACATATGAAGATAACATATACTAGGTAATAGGAGATGCCTGAATGAAAGCAGCCTAAAGAGGAAATAAAAAGATAGGGCAAGACAATACAGAGTATCTAGGAAATTAATATCAAAGAAACTTGCTCAAATAGAGTCGACATGATCATCAATCATGCGTAGATGCATACAGGATCTTGTACAGTACATGGTACAAATTAGTGCAATGTACTGTACAGATTATTCATCATGCACACACAGTTGCCACGCGATGATTATTTCCTCTCTGGTCTCCTGCGCATTCCGTAATCTTTGTCCCAGTCAGCTCAGCCCAACCTGCCTGTCAATCAATTAATCAATCAATCGCCTGTCAAGCACCGGCTCCACAGCGCCCTCCCTCTCAATGAGATATTTTCCATTCAACAGCCCCCCTTCTCATCTCTCCACAGGGGTCTTGTGGCATTGTTGGTCGAAGTATTTTTACCCATTTTGGCAATTCCGGTCTTTGTCCAGAGAGCATGCCTTCACTGCCCTCTTCATGTCAGGGAGTAAATGTCCAGCTGAAACTTAGTTTTCTAGAACGCCTGAGCTCATGAGAATTGATTGCATTCTTGCAGTTCCTGACGTCACTCATTGTGCAATGTGCGGCTCTTAGTTCGATTCAGCTACAACACCTCCAAGTCTGGGAGGTATTTCAAGGCTGAGGTTAGACGTGTCATGTATGTACGTACTGTACGTATATACCTTAGTTAGATACTCCTTTAAACAAGAAGACGGCAAAACGACCGCCAGAAGTGGCCTCGACTGACGCCATTTTACGAGGTCGATTTGCCAGTCTTTCCCACCACGCACCCGCCTCTTTATCTCCACGCGATCCCCATCGCATGTCCCCAGTTTTCACGTGACCGACTGTACCTGACTAGTGCCCATTCTGTCCTCAATGACGCTGCTGCCCCTGCTGCTGTCGTTCCGTTCCAATTTCATCGCTCACCCTCAGTTTCCTGAAGGGCGCCGAAAATGGCCTCCTCGTTTCTTCGCTATTCGACGCCTGTCCTGCTGGGGCAGACAAAGAGGAGGATGGCTCAGCCCCGGCAGACATGCTATTTGAATCGTGGCCGTTCTCTGCCTCGACAAGCATTTGAAATCTCGCCGATGGTGCTCCCCTTCGTCAATCACCGCACTCTTTCTTCCTCCTATCCTTTGAGATCACTTCGTTCACTTTCTTGGAAGCCTCTCAGTTGTTCTTTTTTATCATCCCAGACACTCATCTGCCCCGATTTCTGGGTTGTGTCCGTCTGAAAAGATGACCCGACAACGCCGCCGTGAGAAGGTCGACGGTTCGTCGTCGGACGAGAGTGATGCTGTCTTCAGTGACGTCGAGGGTCACCCGAGGATGACACTGATCTCACCAGCGATGATGAAGACCAACAAGATTGCAAGGACCTCGCGGAGTTCTTTGCCGACAACGAGTATCCGCCCGAGTATTATATCCAGCAGTTGGAGAATTTCGACGAGACAATTTATAATCAAGAAGATTACCGCCCAGAAACTTTGCTTTTACTAGATCGAGTTGAAAGACAGTGGCATGGGTACGTAGTGGTTTCTGTTTCGGTCCTTCAGTTTTCTTGGAAACCCTGACCCCGTCTAGATTCTGTGCGTATACGTGGAGGGACCCCGTCAACTCGTACACGACTTTGTCCATTGGGACTTTGCACATCTTTCTGGAATGGGTGCTGAATCTGCGTCGTGGTGAGGGAGGACGACGACTGCGGGGCATCAAAAAGAAAAGCTCTTTGGAGACCTTCTGGAAGGTATTTCGTCTGGTACACGAGAGAGCCACCGGCAGCAAGATCAATCCTGTGATCACTTGTCAAATGCACCGGGTACGGATTTCCATCAGGCCCAAGGAACGTCCCGAGCCTGGGTCTACCAGGGATATGTCGCAGCAGCTGACAGCTTTAGGTCATTCGGACTCTCGCAAAGAAGTACCGATTGAAGAAAAGGGGCCGCGAGAAGTCGGTCATGTACGTCGAGGACCTGGCGAAAACGGTCGAAACAACCATTGTGACGACTCGGAAGAAGTTTGGTCACGGCCGCCACCGAATCAAACTCTGCTTGTTCCTCCAGCTGGCCGGTCTCACTACCAATCGGCCTCAGGCGATTCTCGACCTGTGCTATCGACATATTCAAGTGACTCTCCTACAGGACCCGTGTAGCGGGCCGCATCGAATCTTGATTGAGTTCACCTTTGAATTTACGAAGGAGTTTCTGGGAGCTAAGGACAAGTATGATATCCCCCGCTCGAAAATCCCTCACGCGTTCGTTCGCAACGAGTTGTCGGCGTACTAACCACGACCAGAAATCATCTTCAATCCTTCACTGGTCCTCAGCCCTCATGTCTTCCTCCTAGGACTGTTGTTTGCCGACCGTGCCTTTCATCGCGTAGAGGGCCAGGAGGTGCTGGTGTCTGCGGAGCAGCTGCTGCACCTCAACATTCATCCTGAATGTAATGAGCTCCGTTTGCTGCTCGACCCGGCATTGGATGACGTTCCAGTCTTCCGTCAGTCCCTGCAGACCTTGCAAGGAACGGCCATCTTGGCCGACCAGGCGCTCCCCTACTCGACTCTCTTGCCATGGGTGAAAAAAGTGGGTGCCCTCACTGGCTTCCAGCAGATCGCCCGTCCATACAGCCTTCAATATGGTGCCGGCAAGGCGCTGGATAATAGTGGTACGTGTCCCTCTTGGACCTGGACCGTTCTCATGGACCGACAGTGCGATGATGACTGACCACAACGATGCAGGCTCCGTCAGTGACGCCCTTTGGAATCTGATCATGCATCACGCTGATACACGGACGTTCCTCAAATACTATCTGTCACGACGCATTGATCAGGATCTGGCCGGCATCATCCGCGGTCTGGATCCGCAGGAAGAAATGATGCGGGCCGCGTGCCGCATGAGCCGGACCATCGATCCGAATCGGCCGCAAGAGCTCACAACGGCGCAGTCGTCCTCGGTCAATCAGCATCCCGACATTCAGGAGCTTATTTGCCGGAGGGATGATCTGGGCCGACGCCTTGGGCGGCCGTTAGCACGGCACAAAGGAACGGCCAAATACGACCTCTACCAGAAACTCAACTGCGAATTGGCCAGAGCGCGTCAGAGAGCCCAGGATGCTTTGCTGGTGGAACTTCAGGACAAATATGATCAAGAGCAGCCGATGCTGGAGGTCCAGCGACAACTATCTGGAGTGAAACTCTCTGAGACCGTGAATCATTCTTTGGAACAGTACGAGGAAGTGCCTTTGCCCCAAAGGCGCTTGATTGAAGCCCTTCTTACTCTCCCACGACCGACGTTGGAGGAAGAAATGCTTCGATGGACCAAGGCGATCGACGCCATTACTGCATACTGCTTATTTGACGAAGGTGACACATGCCGCATTGCCCATGAAAAGCGACGGCGGGACTCGGGTCCAATCGACGCAGAGGAAACTGAAGACTCCCCAAAACCAAACAGGGAGTCAGGGTCTAAGCCAACCCTCTCTCAGCGGGAACTGAAGCTACAGGCCGCTGTTCTTTGTATCGGAAGAAAAACGGCCGTTGTACTGTTTCATCTGTGTTGGGAAGTCTAATCTGGATCTTGAGAAGCGCACACAGACGTTCAAGACGCATGGCGATGTCACTAAGCACATTAAGCGGAAACATCTTCGATACATCGCGGACGGGGATCCTGTGGGCTGTGAACTTTGCCGGCTGTCTTTACTCCATAAAATGGATTTTCAACGTCACGCAATTGACGCTCATTCGACCGTGACATGATAATCTCCTTCGATTGTAGAGTTTCCAATGTCTGAGTAGCCTCTTTTTGAAGTTTGCAGTATGTTAATAGTTATTTTGTTTTCGTTATCTCTATGCTATATTGTATATTACCTCGGGCTAGGCCCTTTGTGTCAATGATTTCAAAGTGGCAATCTGCCAACGTATCGAACAACGTGCTTTTTTGATTCCAGAAGCCTTATTTCTTCCATTTCAATTGGCGGATGGAGACGTCCGCAGGTGATTGTCTTCTTCGTACATAACAAACTTCGCCCTCTCCTATATTAATGGGTTAAAAGATGCACAAGTATTTGTATAGTAGAGATAATGCACCTCAGTCGGGCACCTCATGTCAAGCCGCTAGATGCCACATCGCAATGTTCAGAACCATCCCTGGTCTTTGTCTTTAATGTACACCCTTGGGAGTTGCCCATCGAATCTTTATTTCGCAGGACGAGAGAGGCGACTTCATACGTCAGGATCTTGTTACGCAGATTAGACCGCGGCAGCGGCTCACAAGCGAGATCCTATTCAGAGAGGTGCTCGAGCGTTACCCTCTACCACCCGGGAACCACATGGGACTTTATGATTTCGGGATTATGTGGCCTCCCTGCGGTCGGCTAGTCCACAAGGATTCTTGGTCCATATGGTATGCCATAATTTTGGAGGTCCGTCTGACCGTATTGTCCAATGGTCACAGTACGTCGTGCCTTCGACAGGTGTTTTTCTCTTAGGACCTTAGCCGTTATGAATCATGTTACACTGCGGACAGTCTTTTGGATTATCGTCTTGAACAAATCGAAATTATTGAGGGGAGAAACTTGAAATTATTATTTCAGAGATAATCCAAATACACTTTCACTCGCAACAATGCTGCCGTAAGCAACATTACTCCGACAAGCCCAGCTGTGCCAGCTCTGCATATTCCGGTAAGTCCCATCCTCGTACATCCTCACGGAGGACCCATCTGCTCAATACATCAATGCGCAGCTTGGCAGCTAAACCTAGAAGGAAGTTGAACACAGCAATGCCCCGAGGCGATGACGGAACCCAGAAGCCTGAAGCCAGCTTTTGCACTTGGCTAACAAAGGGCTTGAGTCGTCTCTGATAAGCTTCCAATGCGGAAAGAATAGGGTCCCCAGCACCATCTGTATTGTCGCCGTCAACTCCATTAGAACGGTTCAAGTGTTTGGCGATTTCACCCGCCAGAACATAGGCACCAACAAGTGACAATGAGGTGCCCATTCCAGTTGCTGGGGAAGGGCAATAGGCAGCGTCCCCAAGAAGAACAACCCGGCCACGAGACCAATTGTCGATTCTGACCTGTGCCACTTCATGAGTGAAGAAGTCATTCGATAGCGAGTCGTCTTGCAGTGCCTTGATGAATCGTTGCGCCTGCCACCCTGCATCCTGGAAAAGCTCAGCCCAGATTTTCTTTTGTTCCTCAACACCACTCTTCATGACATCTTTTAGTTGATCTAGATCGTCTGAATATCCCATATATGCCTGGATTGAGTCGGGACTATGTCTTCGAGTAAAAAGAAGACGCTTGTTGGTTGCAAGGTAGCCTGTGGCTATGTACTCGTCGCCCTCCTGTTGAGGTATAGTGAAATATGCCATATACATGTGGAGAGAGTAAAAAGGATCCGGACTATCGGGCGGTAATATCATCCTCCGGGTCCGTGATCCTAGGCCATCAGCACCGACTAAAAGATCAAAACGATCCTTTGAACCATCTGTGAATTGGACCTCAACAGACTTGTCATCTTGTTCAAAACTCTCGACACTTGTGCCAAAGATGTACTTGACATGGTCCTTCGTAGCGTCGTACAAAAGACGGCACAGGTCTCCTCTCATGATCTCGTAGTTGGTGGTGAAGCTCTGTAACCCCTTGCCAGTCTTATTCGCTGGGAAGAAAGCCTTCTGTCTTCCAGAGCTGTCCACAAACTGCAGACCTGTCTCGTTGACTACTTTGGAGCGGTAAGCCTGTTCTAGGCCCATACGCTTCAAAGTCTGAATCCCGTGCCCCCGCAGATCTATCTGTTGTCCAGAGGCCCGCAGGCAGGAGAAGCGTTCCACGATGGTGACGTCGTAACCCAGTCTCGAGAGCCAGAAAGCGAGAGCAGGACCAGCAATGCCCCCACCAGAGATTAGGACTTTCAGTGCCGCCATGGTATAATGATGTGGACACTGGTCTTGCTATGAGCACACTCGAGTATTTGGGAGCTAACAGCGCTGCGTTTGTTATGGAGAAAAACAAGTGACTGAGGGCACAAAGGAAAAAGTAGAAAAAGAGAAAAAGCAGCAACGCCCTGGTCGTGGCCTTTAGGAAATAGTAGCAAAGCAAGTATTAGATGCAATGGTTCGTATTCAACTAACCTCTCGGAAATGAAAGAACCTTAAATAACCCGCGAAGATGTCCACTTAACTCCAAATCAGGGGGGATAATCCATCTCGGTGAATTAGCCTCGGTGAATTATTCCTGTTGTCGCCCAATTTGCCGACGCGGACTCGACATTGTTCATCCTAGGCTTTCTCCGAGGAAGAAGAGCTTGGAAAGAGTCTTTCCGCGATTCTAGGTCCTATGGCCACACCTTATCTGTGGAATGATTCAATTGCACCCTTGGCGAGTATAGCCAAGGGTGGCAATTGCGGCATTTATCGTTGGGAAGTGCTAAACCGATACCCTCGTGGTTTTGTTCGCACTTCTTTTCTCGGTCTTTTGCTGAAAAGATCGAGCGAGCCCAATATGTTTCGCCGATCGCACTTTTGATGAAATAGACCGAGGGGCCGAGTAAAATACCGACCAGATTAAGGAAACCCACTTGGGGTGCCGCGAGGGAGGGGGCGCGGATCCAGTATTAGATACAGGCATAATAAAGGGTGTGCGACAATTTGGTAATTCGAGTCTTTCGGATATATCAATACGTTCCCAACAGGAAATAAGAAAATAACATTCCTTTTGGCTTTCTCGCGCGCTCCTCGAAGTAATGTATGTCTCTGCTGAAGTGTATGCTCGCTCGGATTTGTACACAGCTAGACTCATCTCGAGGGAAGGGAATGGGTGTTTAGAAACACGATCAAAGGCTAAAAAAGAAAGGGCCCAATTAAGATGCTGAAAAATTGCCACCGCTTCATTCCTCCGATCTAGAACCCGAACAGATCTTCCAGATTCCAGACGCCAAAAACATCTGCCTCAACGTCTCCCTCCGGAAGTCCGAAATCTTCAATTACCTAGCAGCTGTCAGCTCCATCTGGATATATTATTCCCAAATACCAACCTGGGAGCCATTGTTTGGTCCCTGATGTGATAATATGTTTGCTGCATCCGCCTGAGTGGTGGAATATCTTGGGGTAGGCATAATGGCCCTTTGTGGCATCTGGTAGAGTTGGAGCTGGTCAGATCTCGATGAGGTGCATGGAGTGCCTGATACTCACATTTCGGCGCAGGGTCTTCTCTGTCTCAGCCTGCATCTGCCAGGTGTATAATCGGCGACCGATTTTCAGAATCTGCTCCGCCGCCCTTGACCGACTGGCCTCCGCCGAGGCTGGCCAAAGCCTTGCTTTCACTAGCGACAAGACCATTGTCAAGAGATAAAATTCTGGCGCCTTCTTGCCAGTCATGTATATTTGTGTTTCAATTCTGTCCAATGCTGATTCGGCAAGGGAAATTAGAGACTCGGCAAAGTTGGGGACTGCCCTTAAGATGGGCGATGAACCTATGGTCAATAAGTAGAGGTATTCTCAATTTGGATCGGTTAGCTGCGTACCGTATCCAGCATCCCTCATATACAACTCGTGGCATACTGTCAATGCAGCCTGGACACTGACACTTGGCATGATATATTGTATCATGTTGCTGGTACTGGGCTGCAGGATATCCCGAAACTGACAGAGAATGGTCGTCGCGGCTTCAAGGCGTGCTCTTCTTGAGTGTGTGTATTTGGAGATTTGCTGCCCCAAGGATGCAAACGGTGTGTGCAATAAGATTACATATTGGCGCAGGGTTAGCTCGAGGAGCACTCGTGTACGAGACTTCTGCTGGCTGCTTGCATCGTCTGCAGCAGGGCGACTCCAAACTGGAATGCTATTTATTTGTTGCGATAGTTCCTCGTCCATGTTTAAGGCGTCCTCATAATCCAGTTTAATGTTTGCACCGTTGGCCCATGCACAGATTCTTAATCGTAGCAAAAGGGACTTGGTCAAAACAGCCTGGAACGCCGAATTAGTAAGCACTTCAAGAGATTCTGTTGTCGGCAAGTCCGAAGAGGTCTCGTCAAAGGAATCATCATTAAGATTCATGGGCGCAATGGTATTGAAATCCCCCTCTCTTACTGAAGGGGGCATCCCACGATCGACAGACGCCTGAAGGTCCAGTTCTACTATAGTTGCCCATATCCGCCTTCGCATTTCAATGTGGAATGGAGATATCTTAGCATGATCGTTGGGTTCCCTATGATAGCCAGCGGACATGGCCCGTTTGACCAGGCTGCCTGTGGCGATCCATGCTTGATTCTCCGATAGCCCGTTGACTCTCCTGGCCACTATCGACAGGCAGCAGATCTGGAAAATCCTCAGGTCTGGCCGCTTTGTATATCTCTGTAGGAACGACTCTGCAGCTTCCACCCATTCACGTGCTGTCTCCCGAAGCGCGGGTCCTACACTCAAAGATCCAGTCGTGCTCGAGTTGTGCAAGACAAGCGCAGCTGCCATCATTGCCAACAGCTGTGCTACAAATCCGGGCGCCGCAGTCTGCGGACTTCCCCAATATTGGGCATATTCCCTTCGAAATGAGGGTATGTGCAGGACGCGGTGGGTTGGCTCAATGCAATCGAGGTAAACGGCGACAAGCTCGTCGGCCGTTTGGCGGGGGGGAACTAGACCATCCAAGGAACGGCTATCGACAACGCCCTTCTTGCAACTGCGTTTGAAAACCTCAAACTCTGTGCGCAAGTTGTTGAGTGCAGAATTTTCGGATTTGATCTCTTTGATATATGTACGGAGTCCTTCAAACTGTTACTGTGAGTAGACTCTTCGAATGTATGACGACTTAATGGGAAAGGTACCTGAGAGTACATATTCATGGCATGCGTTTGACCAAAGAATCTTGTTTGGGAGTCATTTCCCTTCAGATAAGTGGATCCAGTGATACATGAAAGGTTTCGTTCATTCCTTATGGAACGTCTGATAACTTGCGTCGACGTCTCTCCTGCAACAGCTGCGCCAGTATCGGGGTGCTTCTCCATGAGATGGCCTTCCGCTGCTGGAATTGCCCGCGTAAGGCTCTCTGCTGTTGCTGGATCAGATATCCCTTGCCTTGGCTTGTAAACGGGAGGAGCTCCGACTTGTCTTTTTGGCGATCTCGAGCGGTTACTCCGCGCAGAAGTGTGGTCACATTCAGCGTGCTGAGGACGAGGATCCTTCCTTCCTGTACGCGAGAAGATGTCATCGCTGTAAGAACAAGCATGGGCCTGACCGATTCGAATGCAGCGATCACAGGAAGGAAACTTGCGATCACATTTGACCTTGCGGTTGCGACATTGCGCGCACGACAGGGCAGGTCTTCGGCGCTTGCGGGCTGGGACCTTCGGGTCTCGTCCTTGGCCTTGTTCTGGGCTCATTGATGCGGTCTGCCCTACACTCTCCGTTGACATTGTCGCTTGTTTTTGGTGCTACCCCGCCGTTGTGAGGTGGCAGGACATTTGGGAATTAGGGAGCGTTGCCACGAAGTCAAAGTTGCAATTGTCCGAGGCACAAAAGACCGAGCGCTGGCGAGGCCAGGCGGTTCCGCGAGGCTAGGGTTTTGTTGTCATGGCTTGTAATTAGGTGTATTACCGATAAAGAATTGTGCGTATGGGTCACTGACCCAGTAATACACTGTAATGCCTCATCAGTCCAGAACATGGTTCGGCTATCAGCCAGTAACGCCTGTTTAAAATTCCCTCTGAAATGTCCTGTGTTATCAGCGCCGCCTCGAGCTTTCAGCGAAGGATAGTTATGTGGAGACAGCAGCTCGGCTCGGCGTTGTCTGTCGCGGATCCGAGACTCTATCTATATCGCCGATGCCGAGCTTCCCTTCCCTCTCAAGTTGAATAAGATCGAAGAAGATCGCTCAAAGACATTCTTCCTTGTGTAAAGGAACATAATTTGGCATTACGACAATTCTCTCCAGCAATGACCACATATAACAACGAAAGAATAATGCCAGAGCCAAATCAGTCTACATCTCTCACTCTCAGGAATGAGAGCATGACGGCTGGTTTCTCGACAGTTAAGAAGGCTTCGTCTGTTGTTTCTCGCGATGGTCGAGATGTTGAACGTCAAGAAGGTTCCACGGAGACCAAAGATCGAGTTCATGATGACGCGCCGCCTGAAGGGGGCCTCCAAGCCTGGCTGGTAGTGTTGGGAGCGTGGTGTTGTTCGTTCTGTTGTTACGGGTGGATTAACAGTGAGTGTCCTACCTGGTCCAGTGTTACCTGTGTTTTGATTACTATCTGACACGCTCCGTCCATGAACAAAGGCATTGGAGTATTTCAGGCTTACTACGAGACCCATCAACTGAAGAGCTACTCCTCGAGCACTATATCTTGGATCACATCCCTGGAAATCTTTTTCATGCTGTTTATGGTACGTACTTCCGTTCTGTCGGCTCTTCGACTTCATCGAAAGTCAAGATATACTGAGACTTATTAATTCCTAGGGACCCATTGTAGGGAAGCTCTATGACAGCTATGGGCCTCGATACGTCTTGCTCTTTGGGTCCTTAGCGCATGTCTTTGGGTTGATGATGGCATCCCTTTCAGATAAATATTACCAGTTCCTTCTGTCACAAGGAGTTGTCAGCGCCATTGGGGCATCTGCTGTCTTCACGCCCTGTAGGTGTTGCTCCGGCTATCCGTCTTTCTAAGTGTGACGTTTGCAACAGGAAGAAGGACCTGACTGCTGACTTGAATGCGCCTTTTTAAGCCCTCAGTGCTGTTGCTACATGGTTCCACCATAAACGTGGTCTTGCTTTTGGGCTCACCATGAGCGGCTCAAGCACAGGTGGAGTCATATTTCCCATAATGATCTACCACCTGATTGTTAATGTCGGTTTCGCATGGTCTATGAGAATTTCCGCCTTCATGATTCTTGGACTGCTCATCATCGCCAATCTGACAGTGAAAGCGCGTACCGCACCTCATCCGCAGCCACCTATGACTGTGAAAGAGTTCTTCTCACCTCTTACAGAAACAACCTACGCTCTTACAGCCGCAGGAAACTTTTTATTCACATTCGGCTTGTTTATCCCTATCAACTACCTGATCGTCCAGGCTATTGCTGGGGGTATGTCTCCAAGCCTGGCCAACTACCTAATTCCTATATTGAACGCGGCAAGGTACGCAATTCCCCAGCGTTAAGATGTTTATTTCCGCAGTGGACTCATCAGAATTAAATGTATGCTTACGCACCTATTCTCTAGCTTATTCGGGCGAATCATCCCAGGCATACTGTCAGACAAACTTGGACGATATAACACCTTTGTCGTAGTTTCATTTTTAACCGCAATTCTCGTCCTGGCCCTTTGGATCCCGGCGTCCAGCAATGCTGCACTCATGCTCTTCGCTGGGTTCTTCGGATTCTCATCCGGCGCCTTTATCTCCCTAGGCCCGGCACTTATAGCCCAAATCTCCCCCATCCGCAAGATCGGTATCCGACAGGGTCTGCTTTTCGCCATGATGTCTGTTGCCGCTCTGACGACTAGTCCAATCGCTGGGGCCATTGTATCCCACGAGCATGGTAGATTTACTGGTCTCAAGGTTTTTGCCGGAGTTATGTGCCTTGCTGGATCAACTTTGACCCTCCTAGCAAGATATTTTGTTGTCGGCATGAGCCCCATGAAGAAGGTTTAGTTTAGTATGCCTAATCGGGTATACAAGACTGCGTGTGACCTTAGCTGGATTTGATATTACTAATAATAACATCGGTCGTGTGAAAAGCTCTCACAAAGAATTAGAAAAACCGGTGTATACCAATTGGTAAAGTCATTGGCAAACCAACTTGTGGAAGAATTGGCTTTCCCATCAATAGCTGTTATTATGACGCTCTCCATTTGAGCATCTAAGTCAGAAGTCTTTCAAGCATTTTATATTACAACACTTTACACCATGGCCACAAGGTAGGCTTATTTTTAGTGCTTGATTTACTCTGGTTAACGCTTGTTTCTGTGAGATCTCTCTGGCTATCCTGGGCTTATCTTCTACATCCTGACTTATCTAAGCCTCTGTTAGGCGCGGCTGATATGTCCAACCTCTCTATCAGTATGACAGCATAGCTAAGGGCCTTCTCACTCCGGAGGGATCTTGTTAACAACCATGGCAAACGTGGCTTGACGCTCGAACTCCGTGATTTGAAGACACCATCTACTGCAGAGAAACTGGAGGACTAGCGCAAGGAGTCACAATGGGCCGACCCACCGCCTAGTTATATGGGCTCTGACACCAGAAGACTTGCACCTCTATATGATGTTTAGGACCGGTAGCTGAATGGTGAAACTTAGCAAGTTAGAAGACAACGCTCTCCAGGGGGACGTACGGTGTACTGTACATGTGTGAAGTGGGGTAGATAAGATAGAATAGATTTGAGTTTCTGCCGGCAGAATCAACGGACGCTAGTAACCCATGACACTCTATCATCCTCATACGGGCTTAGCTGACCATCTCATTCCCGTCTGGGTATTGAGGGCTTGGCAGTTAAGCTGACCCTCATATATATAAGGGAGTATTATCACGTCGTGAAAAAGGTGTATGAAACTCGAGTAATCTTTTGGCCGATCTGGTGCCTGCAGAACCAGTAGACCCTACCGAGTCGCATATAATTAAGGCTTTCCATGGAGAGTACCGCAAATCCATTCATTGCATGAGATCCAGATGTTGCCTGGGAAGTGATATCACGTCCCCTGAATGGTCATTCAGGTTGCCAGGAACGCCTAATGCGTGCGAGGGATTAGCTGGGTTCCTGGAGGAACGGCAGGGAAGTTTCCAGTCCCTCGTGATTGGCCAATAGGCATTATGGTCGGGCCGGCTCTACCTCAGATCTCTATCACCACCATATGACTTCCGATACACTTGTCCAGCTGCACAAGTGGAACAACAGTTTCTGGACATATATATTTTGTTTGCACCTAGGGTTTGGAAACTATTCCTATCTCTCTGTCTGGTAGTGGAAGAAAATTGATATCTTATTGATTGAGTTCAAGCACTAAACGATAGTTGGTTAATATTTATAAAAGGCTGCAACTAGTGTCACTGGATATTTTTATATTTGATTTGAACTGACAACAATATGTCACTTCTCTTAGCAGGAACCTTTTAATATTCTCGCTTTCTAGGTTGATTTTGTCACCCAAGAATAGCCAAAAGTTCTTCTATCTTTTTAATGATTTGGTGCTGCTTTCTGTGTTGCAGCTTGTACTAGTCCTTTAGTATTGCTGTGCTTCCTTTAGTTGCTCCTCCAGCAGGCCCTTATTTTTTGTGAAGTCGATATATCCCGTCCGACGTCGGCTGCTCTGAACTCTAGTGTGGTTTTAGTGACGCAAGCTTCCTTGCTTATTAGATTAATTAGATTTTCTATTCCTGTCAGTATCAGCCTGCGGAAAAATTGTTACTTGCTCACCTTTGCTGCCACCCTTGACTTGCAGGGGAGTCAGATCCCCTTGGTCCGCTGTCGAGCAACAATGACGCGGTTGTTACGAACCAACAGGAGATGACGCTGTCCAACACAGCAATGCAGGATGAAACCCATTCGAATATACCACTGGAAAGGTATACCAAATGGTATACTCGGAGGAAGGAGGATATACGAAATGGTATACCAGGGAGAAGGCATAAATAGGACCGTTTACCCAAGCATGTATCTAGTCTTTCCTTCGATCGCGCTCAATATCAATCGTTTACTGAGATACTTACTTGGAGGGTCAGTAAGACATCTTACTACTAGTGGTATACTTCGGTATAGCTCTAGTAGGCGTTGCCTCTGACCTAGTCGCATTTGTCTTGTTTATCTTTTGGCAGCTAGCCAGTGACCCTTATTGTTATCTGTGTTTGCCTGTTCGGCATTGACCTGTTCGGTCTACGGTCTGTTCGACCACAGTGAAGAACCTGTTCGGTTCGCTTGATCCTTCCCTGACCACCAACGGAAGTATCTGCGGCTACGGTTGGACCCAGCGCGTAACATGGCACAGATGATGTGGCTCTGAAGCAAACTTTAGGTGAACAGTACACGAGAAAGGATGAGAGATTCGGGGCAGATAAACAAGTGACAGCAGTAAAAAAGGTTCAGGAAATTGCAGAAATTGCAGCCTCTTTTATAGGTGAAATAGTACAATGCAGCACAGCGACGTGGTCATAAACTAATTGACTGATAGGGTACTGTTAGCGCCAAGGTGATGATTGAGAAACATACCTACTCCCATTCCGGGAGGAAAGCGCTTCTCTTTGGTCTAGTAGAGACCCCCTTGTCTAGGTGGTCGATAATTATCACCAACAGCAACTTGTCCATTGAGGTGATTGAAATCCTTTCTAGCTGGGGTGCCGGCCGAGCGACAGCGGTACGCGGCGCAAACGAAGGTTACGGCATGACTTGATTGGATACATTCTCCGCAAGGTTGTAGCTTCTCAACTTCAGAGGTGCATTAGCATGGTTGACTGATAACACTTCGTACCTGGTTCTCTTAGCGCCGTTACATGCAACATTCAATAGGTTCGTTGACATTCTAAAAGACCAGCCTCTCTGGTCGCGCGAAACATCTGGTACTCACAGCACAATGTAGTCCAATCAAACGTCGACATGATAGCGCTTCTTCGCATGAGGCACGAGGATATTCTGGGTCCTCTTTTGAAGCGTATGGAGAAGCTTCGAGCAAATAGGGCACAGCTGAGTACCACAAAGTACGATTAGGTACTATAGAGGACGATGCGGTACGATGCGGTATGTCTATAGTGCTGGTGCGATGTGCTGTAATGTGGTGTGATACGGCGTGATGTGGTGTGATAAAGCGACACGCCACTGCAGAATAAAATCCTCGTTGGAGGATGGCGTTTAACTTGTGGCCTCAGGGGGCTGAAGTCAGCTGAGCGTCGAAGCTGCAGTTGAAACGTTCCACTAGAATAAAGCTTGTTATTTTCTACTAGCTACTGTCGAGGAAACATGCAGAGGTCAGCGAAAGTTAGAAGAGGAACGCAAATCAAGGAGAGAATGCGTCGACCCAATCAATGGCTTTCTTCCGCATATGGTGGTTGGAGTAACGGTTGTGAGTCGTCTGGGAAATTATAGAGGTCGATTCCATGCGTGACGAAGTCGCCCTCCAGCCCCTCGATCCGCAACTCGGTGGTGCGCTTGGAGAGGATGTCGTATTTAAAGATCGACTCCCGGAACGAAGCCTCGGACCGCTTGGACGCATCATGAACACAGGCTGGAGGGTACCAATGCGTGCGTCCGACGGGATCACCGCAGGCCAGAAAGGCCGTGTTGGAGGCGAAATGGATGCGGACGTCCTCGCACGCGTTGGCAGCGTAATTGACTTTACACCGCCCGTTGTTGAGCGCGCTGCTGTTGGCCCATCGCGTGATCTCAGCGGGATTGACCTGGACGCGGCCAAGAAGGCCTGTTGGCTGGCGGTATATAGCGGCTAATATAGCAAGGACACGGATTGGAAGATAGTACAAGAACAGAGAAAGCTTGCCCTTGTCGCGCGCTGCAGTTGAGGCCGCCATTGTTGGAGAAATTCCTGGGTATGCCCGCTGGTTTCCCTCCCTCTTCGCCCTACGTCTCTATATATAGAGGACATCCATCCAGCTGTCTTATGATCTTTTCCACCGCATGACCATCTACGGACCACCTCTGACGGGTCATCCGGAACAAACTTCACATATACGGAAGTCTTCCATGGCTTTCTGGATCCCAAAACTCCCAAGCCCACCAAGATGTCGGCGGAAAGTGGCCGGGTCGAGATGCTGAACAGTTAGTCGCGCGATAATTAGCAATCTCGGCAGTCGCAGGCAGACCGGGAGAGCTGGCCCAAACAGGAAACTAGCATCCGACTGGACCGTTGGCCCCGTCCAAAACGGCAGGTGCGTTCCGGCTGCCAACACTAAGCAGTCGATGCCAAATCAGGAAGGTGCCTGGGGTCCCCGTGGAGGGAGTCGATTCTGCAGCCTAACCAATTCCATGGAGAAGCTCTCTTGCTGTGTCTTGGACGCATTTCTTTCGATCTTGGCACCTGTATATAATAATATATGCACCATGGCAGCGCCAATGCTAGCTGTGGCCACTCGTTTCCTCTTATCTCGTTGCTCTGTACCCATGCGACCGTGCAGGGACCTTCACCATGGTGGAAAAGAAGCGCAATCTGTATATCTTGATTGTCGCCTTCGTGGCATTGGGGTCGTTTGCGTTTGGATACTCCAATACCATTATCGGAACCACGCTCGCGCAGCCCTCGTTTATGTATGTTGATATGGCTCGCGTGTTTTTTTTTTTGTCGATTTGTCTAACACAAAACCGTTGCAGAGCTTATTTTGCATTAGACAAGCGTCCGAATTCGAATGCCATTTCTGGCGCGACCAGTGGCCTCTATACCGGAGGAGGACGTCAGTACTTCATACGAGCATGATGTGTTTTATGTCATTGAGCTGTGGGCTGACGGTCCCCATTCCTGGGAGCCTTGTGCTCATCCTGGCTAGCAGAGCGTCTGGGACGGAAAAGTCCATCTTCATCGGAGCATTGACGGCTACTATTGGCGGCGCTCTCCAGGCTGGCTCGGTAGCGCTGTCAATGTTTATTGTCTTTCGCTTTGTCAATGGTCTTGGAGTTGGTACGGCAGATTCGCCCAGTTCTTGCTGGAGAGAAGTTGCCGCTGATGGTCCAAATAACTCTCTCGTAGGCATGCTTTTACCACTTGTGCCTCTGTACCAAAGTGAGGTATCTCCGCCGCATTCGAGAGGGATGATGGTTGGTTTTCATGGCATCTGTGTTACTGTTGGATATGCTGCTGCGAGGTAGAAGTTCTCCCTCGATCAAATCTGGTTTTTCTTTGCTCAACAATCATAACAGTTGGGTTGGCTTCGCCTTTTATTTCGTCAACGCGAACGGCGCTCAATGGCGTCTGCCCTTGGCTGTGCAAGCCATCCCAGCTCTCTTCTGCACCATTGGGATTCTGTTCCTCCCAGAATCTCCTCGTTGGCGTATGCACTGTCATCTCCACAAGACTTGTGCTATTGCATTGGCTAACCGGATGTAGTCATCTCACGGGAGCGTTCTGACGAGGCCCTCCGGATCATTCAGCGATTGCATCGCGATGAGTCCGATCCCGACAATACCTTTGCCTACCGGGAATATCAGCAGATCAGGCAGCAGTATGAGATCGACAAGAAGAACGAGGTCTCGTGGAAGGACATGTTCGTCAAGGCGTCGTATCGCAAGCGAGTCATCATCGGTGTCATTGTCATGTTTGCATCGCAGACGACCGGAACAACCGTTATAGCAAGTACGTTTCTCAACTTGCGTGGCGTATGATATCTATAGACGTGCTGACCCATCCAGACTATGGACCAGAATTGTATGGCGCGCTGGGCTTCGACACCACCATCCAGTTACTCTTCTCCGGCTGCTACGCGTCTCTGGCCCTCTGCGGCAACTGCTTCAATGCACTGACGATCGATTACATTGGCCGGGTGAACGCGCTCCGATGTGGGTGGATCGGCGATGCCGTCGCGCTGATCGGAGAATGCATCTCACTCAGCATCTTTCAGCGGACCGGATCGCATTCCGCTGCTGTTGCCAGTGTTTTCTTTTTGTTCTTGCACATCGCGCTCTTTGCCTTTAATATCGACGTCACCACCTAGTGCGTACCCTAACTCCTTGATTACAGATCACTCTGGGGTGTGCTAATTCTTCCCAGCGTATATACCTCAGAGATCTTCCCCAACCACATCCGCGCTAAGGGAATGGCTATTGCGATCGTCGGATACTTTTCGTCCCTGATCATCTACCTGCAAGTAGCACCGACGGCCTTTGACGCCATCGGATGGAAGTAAGCGCACCTGACGGTTAGACCAGTAGAACGGCTTGCTGACTATCAAAAATTCCAGGTTCTATCTTGTCTTCCTCATCGCCCTCTTCTTCTTCATCCTGCCGCTATTCTTCTAATTCCCCGAGACGAAAGGTCTCTCTCTTGAGGAGGTCGCCCGGTTGTTTGATGACGAGGTGACGACCATCCGGCTCGATGACTCGACAGATACGACGAAAGAGGATGTTGGGCAGGAAAACGCCGTCCTGGGGAAGGGTGGTTAACCAAACAAAAAAAAGTCATGATTATTGGTAAAATGTTCAATGTAGTTTACGATTTTCAAAAGCCACGGAATCAGTTGAGGGTATATTCAGCTTGGTAATTATAGCCTCTTATAGAGAGTGGATTGGAGACAGGACTGTTGGAAACTAATCCATAATCAATCTACTCTGCGCGATAAATATTTTTGGCAACAATACTCCGGAGTAATTTGCGCATTAAGAAACTATACTGGGTGCGCCATTTCTGGCAACGAAAGAAATTAGCTTGAAGAGAAAAAAAATTCAAATTTCATTCTTTTCAGTTTCTTAGAATGAGCAAACAAGTAACGCAAAGCTCGAGGATCCACGACTTTTGATTTATCAAGACTTTTCACTCTTGTTAAGGAGTTCGCCGACAGCCTCTCCTGGAGAAAGAACGCCTTCCCAGTGAAGCGCCCTTCGATGGGGGCCAATTATCCAATTCTTTGACTCAGACACTTCTCTCTTCACACACTGTCTTTGCAGACCTCAGGTGTACTCTTCCAAATCAGGCTTATAGAAGCCCCGAGTCCGGATACAACAGCCACACTCCATGGTGCAGTGGCCCCATCGATTCTTCTCGTTTTTCCGATGGGTGTTCAACGGCCGTTCGCAACAGCCACAATCGTGCTCACAGCAACCGCCCCGAGCCTTACACTCCAGGCGGCTCTCTTCCGATAAAATGGCTTCCTTCCTCGCAGTCGTCTCCCATAGCCTTACATACGGGCCCCTTGGCTTGTTGACAAGCAACTTATAGTGCGCTCTCTTATGGAGCCAGTATCGCTGGTCGAAAGTCTGCAGCTCCTCCTGCCACTCCTCTAGCTCCCTTGCCTCGTCGGCTGTTAGGGACCGGATCTGGCCCAGTTTCTGCCGTGCCTCAACCTCTTCCCTGAGATATATTTCCCGTTGAAGAAGGGAGAATCCCTTCCGGTGCTCCTGGCAGTACTGCCAGGTCCACTCGCGCTGGGCCTCTTTGGACTCGGCTCTTCGAATTTGCGGAGCGAATTCGCCCAGTCGTATCGGTTTCGTTGTTCCAGGGCTTTTTCAATGCGTTCCATTAGTCCCATCCTGGGGGTTAGTTAGGTATATAGTTTGTTGAGCTGGGTCGATTCCGTGAACTATTCAAATAGGTCTTGAGAGAGCGGGACAAAGGACGGAAATATAGCAAAAGGTAAAAGCAAAGACATCAGTCCCCACATACCTTGCTGATCTTAATCTTGGTTTCTCGTAAAAAGATAATCTTCTATTAGCTCCGAAGAAATTTAGGCAGATAAGCTGAGATTCCACCAAAGTGTAAAAATCAAGTCTCGTCACCTGTTGACCATCTGTGAAGGATTTTCGATACTAACAGGTGAAGAAGGAAGTTAAAAATAATAAATAAGATAAAGATAACATTCCATATGGGAGATTCTTTAGTCAAGTCTACATTATTACCTCACATCTCCATCGGAAGCCCAAATTGGGTCTATGACGGAATACTCGAGTCTGCCTACTTCTTTGTTCGATATAGTAGGATATAGTAGAGAGGCGCTCCAAATGCATTGATTATACAGTCACTGCAAAAGCCTAGCTGCCTGGGAAATGTTAATACTGACAAACTATATACCCATATCATATACTGCGTATAGCGATGAGATGGATTGATTCATCGGAGACGCGGCCAATCTCCGGTGCCTGGGGCTTCCACGTAGGAGGCGGGCCCACCGCCACTGTGCTTAAATTTTGGGCAACCAATGGGATGGTTTTCTGCTCAGCCTTGCTCTAGGCATTCTTGGCATGCGTATACCTGCAGAAGGCGTACGTGTAAGGCGTATTTCTCGCATTCTCTGTTTTCTGCACGTTGTTTTATTATTTCATTACCATTGCACATTAAAAGTCCCATATCCAGCTTCATTTATTTGTTTTTCCTTCCTTTACTCTGTCTTGGGTGGCCCTTTCCTTCAGTTCAGCTTCTAGCTGGTCGCATTTACGCGAAATCTTGGCAGCGGTGCCAAGGCTCCGCCGTCCGCTGAGACAAGGGCGAATCGATAAGAGCAAATCGTAAATAAAAGGGGACGACCACGCGACCATCACCACCCCAAAAGTGGTCCAATTCCACTCTGTTTACCAAGTCGTTGAACCCAGCGCGAGCTACCTAGGTGTCTGTAGCAGATGCGTATGTTTTCTCCCTGCCTGAACTAGATACTACAGTACATTACCCGTCCCACGGGATGCTAACTTGCTTTCGTATAGACCGGATTCGCTCGTGGGCAAAAGCTCACGCCTCCAACCGCGACGTCGCTGCCCCGCCTGCCGACAACGCTCGAAGAGATCAGGACGATGAAAAGGCCCCTGCCACGCAACGAAACACGGACCTGACACAAGATAATCCTGGAGCCAGCGCTGACCCCGGAGGAGCAAAAGGGACAGAGGGTAGCCCGAATGCCCTCACGCGAACAAAAGACGGTATCATTCGCTGCTTTGTGAAGCACACCAAAGATGCTGTCTGCTACAGCTGGGTCAATGTGCTCCTTGTGTTCGTGCCGGTCGGCATTGCTGCCGAGGCAGTCCATCTGAGCCCGGCGGTCATCTTCGCCATGAACGCCGTCGCCATCGTCCCCCTGGCTGGCCTGTTGAGCCATGCCACCGAAAGCGTGGCCAGTCGGCTTGGAGATACGGTTGGAGCTCTGCTCAATGTGACGTTTGGCAATGCGGTGGAGTTGATCATCTTGTATGCTTGCGTCTCGAATCACCTGGTGTAGTGTTGTGTTGACTGATTTTGAACAGCATGTAAGTTTCCTCTTCGCCACTTGCGGTCATGGGATGCGACAGTCTTAACTCTTGGGCTTTGTCGATTCTAATCCGCCTGCAGCATTGCCCTTGTGAAGGTGTGTTTGTCCCAGCTGCCCTGTCAATGCTGCCAACTGACTGTGTAGAATGAAATCCGGATCGTCCAAGCGTCGCTTCTCGGCTCGATACTGGCGAACCTGTTGCTCATATTGGGGATGGCATTTCTGCTAGGAGGTCTCCGTTTCCAGGAACAGGTGAGAATGGAATATGGATGATTCTGTCCATCTGCTCATCGAGATGACAGATCTACAATAGCACCGTCACCCAGATGAGTGCATGCCTTCTCAGTCTGAGTGTGACCAGTTTACTTCTGCCGGTAAGCCGTGTAACATGAAATATCCTCGGCAATTCACCAGCTCATGGCTTCAACAGACCGCATTCCATGCCTCCTGGTCCAACAACGACACCGCAGATAAATACACGCTCAAAATCAGTCGCGGCACCAGCGTGGTAAGGATTGAATACTGTGAAGATAGCTCATGCATGACTGACGATGAAAGGTTCTCCTTCTTGTCTACGTGTTGTACATCCTCTTTCAACTCAAGTCTCACGCCTATCTTTATGCCAGCATACCCCAGCAAATTGTCGACGAGGAATCCCACCCTGGCATCCTGGCTGACGTCATGGGAGGGTCAAGTGGTTCTGACTCCAGCAGTTCTGGAGATGATACTGACGACTCGTCGACATCGTGGACTACGGCAAAACGTCTCAAGAGGGCGATCAACAAGCGAAGGCGACGGCGGTCAAGTACGAGCTCGGAAACCAGTTCAACTGAATCGCCGGATAGTGACAAGGGAAAGAGCGCTCTTCCCGCTAGTGAAGGCGGCGACGAAGCTGACCACGATGCTGACAACAAGCCTCGAGCTCGAGATTTTGGAATGCAGCCCAGCGGTTCAACCAGCCCTCGGCCATCTCGTAAGGCGAATAGAAGCGTAAAGACGAAACGGCCTCAGACAGCAAGTGCAGTGAACGTTATTGAGCAGCCTCCAAGCGCCAGTGCTCCCCAAAGTCCCGCAAAAAGAGACGATCTACCGGAGGAGAGTGGCAAGAGAAAATCTCCTCTCGCGCTCCGTCCTCTCATCCCGTCCCTGCTATCCAACACAGTCTTCTCTAGTCAAAACCCGCCTACCTCTTCTGGAGGCGCTGTGCCCATGAGGCGAACCCAGTCTTTGCCGGCCCGCATGACCCCAGGCCCTCGGGTTGGAAATGCGGTTCAATACGCGCGAACCGCTGCTCGTATTCGCCCTACTAGTGCTGATAACCGGGCGGTGCCCGATACGCCTCCCGAGCCGGAGATGTCCCGTACTGCGGCGGTGGTCATGCTGCTGTTGTCTACGGGGCTTGTGGCTGTCTGTGCGGAATTCCTGGTTGACAACATTCCCGAAATGATCGCAAGTTCGGCCGTGAGCCAGGCGTTTATCGGTCTGATCGTCCTGCCCATCGTGGGTAATGCTGCCGAGCATGTTACGGCAGTGACGATGGCCACGAAGAATAAAATGGATTTGGCGATTGGAGTCAGTGTAGGAAGCAGTATTCAAATCGGTATGCCTGTCGTCCCCTGCGCTTTCGTTCTTTTTGAGCACGTCTAATAAGATGACAGCGATTTTCGTGACGCCCCTGGTGGTAATAATAGGATGGTTCCTGAACAAAGACATGACGCTGTATTTCACGCTTTTCGAAACCGTTTCGCTCTTTGTCACGGCCTTTGTGGTCAACTATCTTGTGTTGGACGGTCGGAGTAATTATCTGGAGGGGGCGTTACTGATTGCAGCTTACACTATCATCGCGTAAGTGTGGCCTACTGTCATACACAGTATTTTTTTTTCTTAAGTCATTCCATGCTAATTTAGTTATGATTATCAGTGTCGCAGCGTTTTTCTACCCCGACGGAACCGATGCGAGTGATTTGGGAGGCTCTGGAATGGAATAACGAAATAGCATGGCTGCCCCTGGGCAGATGAAGGAATTGAGCCTGGAGCTAAAACCATGAAACAAGAAATGACCCTCGAAGTTACAACTACAGAGAAGAATTCTCGAACTGTCTGACAACCTTGAGAGACATGCACGATAAATCAGACCGGATCTGATATGCTATGCCAAGACTGATTGATAACTTATCTCAAGCTTAGCTTGCAGGGGAGTGTTTCTACTATCCGTTCAGTGACAACGCAGTCATAGGATCTGCATCCATGTACTCTACATGATATACATACACACATACAGATACAGATAGAAATACTAATAAAAAATTTTACAAGGTATCCCCAGGAAAATAAAATTTTCATCAGAGTAAAAAAGGGTTTCACTCCGGATGCGGAAATTCGAGCTCGGCCCCCGATTATGTCGCTGCCTGCGACAAGCCACCTCCTCCACCCGTCCAATCAGAAGCATCGCCGTTGGCAAAATATGAGACCTCTTGACCTTAATTAAACTTCATGCTAATAAGCACTAATACTCTTTCCTACCTAGACCTACCTAATTTTCTTCGCCTTGATCTATTGTCTAGGTATGGATAAGGTATGTATTACATCCTTTAAGTATGGGGAAGACTAGAGTGTGTTGTATTTAATGACTCCTCCCATACAGACGGTCTACTCGCTAGCTGTACTATACTATATTAAGCATGTGCTGACATCGGGCAGGAGCTTATGTTTCCAATTTCTATATATACTACGAGAGAAGCAAAGCGTCCTTGACAGCATACCGCGCAAACAGGCAGCAACATTATTGAATTGAATTGAGAGAATTCTTCCATACCTGCACGCATGTATAAATCCTCCCCTTGCTGAGTGAATAGCGTGAACTCGAGAGTTTATACCTACATCTACAAGGAAGGATGGAATCGATTGATTAATTGATTGCTGCTCGACAATGAAGATCGTCATCATCGGAGCCGGCATCTCCGGCTGCGCCGCTTACCTCTCGCTGAAAAAGCACCTGCCGCGCCCTGAAGACCATTCGTACACCATCTACGAGTCCCACGACACCAGCAAGGACACCACCAGCGACGACCGCTCCTATGCTGACGGACACTCGTCCACGCTCGTCGTCGGCGGCGGGTTGGGCGTCGGCCCCAACGGCCTCAATGTCCTCCGACGGCTGGACGAGGACCTCCTCCGGGACGTCGTCCGCGGCGGCTACGCCGTGTCGCATTCGTACATGAAGAACAAGCACGGGCGGGTGCTTGTGCGGATGGCGGCGCAGAAGAAAAGCACAAGGACGATGAACCTCGTAGCCTGCAGCCGGCACTCGCTCTGGCGCAGTCTGCGAACCCGCATCCCGGACGAGATCATCGTCAACAAGCGCGTCTCCGAGGTCGTTGCCAACCCCGACGGACGGAATCTGGTGCACTTCACCGACGGCAGTCCGCCTGTCGAAGCGGATCTGGTCATTGGCGCGGATGGACTCAAGAGTACTGTGAAAAGGGCCCTGTTCCCGGGAACGACGAATCCTTATCCGCATCAGTACGAGTAAGTAGATAAGTCCTTGTCTGCAGGAAGAAACAAAGAAAAAAAATTTTCGAGCTAGTCGTCTGACTGCCAACAGAGGCCTCGTCGGCATCGGCGGCTTCATCCCCTGCTCAGACGACATCCGCGCACACATCGACAAAGGTAGCATGAGCTTCGTGTTCGGCGGCAACGGGTTCTTTGGATACTTCTACGCAAACAGCTCGCCGTCAGATCCTAATCGGGAGTCAGCGTACCACGTCTCCGAGCAGGGGGACACAGTGGCGTGGTGGTCGACCTACGAGCTGGACGAGTGCCCGAAGGACCCCAAGGCCATTGACCGCGAGGACGTGGCCAGGCAGCTGCGCGAGCGCCACGCCGGGTGGAAGGACCCCGTGGTTCAGAAGATCATTAACATGGGCGTGCAGATCGACAGCGTGTACCCGACATGGACGTCGCCGGAACTCCCGACCTGGGAACGCGACGGGGTCGTGCTCATCGGCGACGCGGCACACGCGCTGCCGTCCACGTCGGGACAGGGCTCGTCGCAGGCTCTCGAGGACGTGGAAGCCTTCACGCTGTTTCTGGCGCATTATCTCCGGCAGGCATACGACCGCAGCTCTGCATCACAGTCTGGCCCGCAAACGGAGAAGCAAGCCATCAAAACAGCAGCAAAGCAGTACATGGCCCTGCGCCAGCCGCACGTGAAACAAATCCTCGACCGCGCGCGGCAGATGCAGAATAACAAGAGAAACATGTCTGTCGTGGAGGAGTATCTGATGTACGCCGTGATGTGGATTATTGGTGAGTGGACACAAAACACAACCCGAAGCCTATCTCTCGGAATTATTTATTGACAGACTGGTTAATGCGCATGCAGGATCCTTCTTCCCCTCCCTCATGATGAAACCTCAGCAGGCGGTCTTTGAGTATAATATCGCAGAGGAGGTTGAGAAGGTTCTTCGTCAGGAACAACAGCAGCAGACACAGCAGCAGAAGAAGTGAATCGATCTATGTTAATACCCGATATTTTCCCATGATTATGGATCTCCTCTCCTGTCGTCATATATAATATGTACCATCATTGCGGCTGCCCTACATCCTCCCCCTGCTCCTCCTCCTTTCTTCCTTCGTTGGCCCACGGCACATAATGGAATTCAATTAATCAAACAGAAGTAGCACGACTTGACGTTTTTACGTCTGCAGTACATACCTTATTTATGCTCTTGAATTTCTCCAACAATAATAATAATACTATGAATCAAGCAACAAATCAATCATGGTGATTTCATTCCTTCATTCATTCACAGACTCACTCACTTATTGACAAGACTGAATAAAAAAAAAGGCAATAATAAACACAGCCAAAAAAAAGTCATACAAACAAACTCTGTACAACGAAACAGTAAGAAAAAAAAGGCATTCCAAACCCTAGAAAAAAGACCTTAGACCAGACTTCACCCTGATACGCCGCTCCCGTTCATACCGGTATCAACAACCCAGGTATAATAAACCATAAATAAAGCATAAAACAGAACTCTGGAATTTCCCAACGAATTCAATCAACTTCCTCCCCGACCCATCCTCTCAATAGAGCTCATGATCCCACTCCGCCCAGGCGTCGGCATGGCGATCCCTGATCGGCCTGTGCTGTTCTTCCGCCCATGGCCACTGGGTAGCCCGTTGCTGTACATCCCCAGTCTCGGCGGCTGCTGCTGCTTCTTCTCGCCGAGACCGGAGGATGGGGGCCGGATGCCACTGACGCCGCCTCTGCCGCTGATACTCCGTCGGAAGGTGTTCTCAGGCTCTGCCGGAGGGACCAAGTCTGATTCCTTGAGTGGTGGTTCTTTGACTGGTGCTTCCTGATATCCAGAGGATTCCTGAGCTGACGAAGAGGACGCAGAGGAATTCCGGCGCGAACTCTGCTCCTGCTGTGTCTGCGGCTGGCTCTGCGGCTGGGTCGGCGTCTGGTTCTGCATCTGTTGCATTGCCAGCCACTCGTCCACCGCCGCGACGAGCTCGCCCTTTTCCGCCCTCTCCGTCTTCAGCTCCGAGTGCAGCCGCTCATTGTCGCGCTTCAACGACTCCATCTCCTGCTGGAGACCCTTGATCTGCGCTTCGAGCACCCGCTTCTCGGCCTCGAGCTCTTCGCTGTCTCGACCAATGACACTCACATTGGGGTTCACCGGTCCAGACATGGTCGCGTCGCGCTCCGTCTTCAGACGTTCAATCTCCTCCGTGGCCTCCTTCAGCTTGTTCTCCGCCTCTCGAACCCGCTTCTCCCACCGCGCCTCGTAGCTCTTCTTCAACGCTGCCACTTTCGTCTCGTGCTTGCTCTTGTACAACGCATGCAGCTCGCGCGCTACCTTCTCGACCGCATCCTGCACCTCTCTTGCCGTTTCCTCCGCCGTCTTCATACCCTGGCCGTTCGAATCCGACGCAGCCGCGGCAGGCGCTTCGGCAGCAGCCTTTCTAGCAGCATCCAGTTGGCTTTCCAGCTCAACGATCCTTCCCTCGAGCTGTTCTTTGCGCTTCTCGGCCTCTTCCACCTTCTTCGTCAACCGCTCTCTTTCCCGTTCTCCTTCCACGATCTCTGCCCGCACCTCGCGCAAGATGGTCTCCATCTCCTTGCCCCTCCTCTCCCATTCAGCCTGCTGGACCTCCAATTCCTCCTTGCGAATAGCTTCATTCCGGACTTCTTCCAATGCCTCTCCGACTCGCCGCTCAGCGTCCGCGACAGCCTGCTTCAGACTCGCCACCTCTGCCTCCTTCCCGCTTAGGGTGGCCTTGAGCGAGGAGATCTCTGACAGATACCCTGATTTTAACGACTCTAGTTCGCGAGGAGTGATCGTGGGAATCGATCGTGGTGTCGGGGCAGGAGGGATGTCGAAGTCAAGGAGGCTGAACTTCGCTGGTGAGCGGATAGATTCGCGCGCCCGCTTCACTGGCGATCTGCGATTGGGAGATGAGACACGGCCGTTTTGCGCGGCGTAGCGCTGAGAGGCCCGACTGAAGTAGTTGAGCTGCTCTGTGAAATCAAGAAGATTTGTAGTGTCGTTCTCGTTGCCATACGCTGGCTTCCGGGGCGTAGACGATATGTCGACATCGGATAGGCCCCTTCCTCTTGACTGTCTCTTGGCAGTGCTGGGCGTGGCTGGCTCTGGCGAACGATAAGGAGAAGCTTTCGATGCTCGTCCCGGAGAATTCGTGATGTCTTGTAATTGCTTCGTTGGGGACATTCTCAGCTTGGCAAACGAGGTCATATCCGCGTTGGGAACCGCGGAGAACGTGCTCAGGCGGGTCTCATCCATCGGATCAGCCGCATTATTTGCGTCATTTGTGTCATTTATGTCGGAAATGAGAGTATCGTTCCCCAAGTCCACGTGAGAGTCATCCTCCCGGCAGACGGTGCTCATGTCTTCGTTGCGCCTCTCCTCCATGATACTGTTGCCAATATCTAGCCGGTCGCTCTCTGTGAACTGCGGTTGATGAACGACGCTGTGGTTATCCTCTGCTTCGTTTCTTGTTTCTGGCTGTTGATTTTCTGCATCTGGTATGTCATTGTTTTCATCAATCGTCATGTTTGGTGTGTTTCCAACACCAGGGCTGTTCTGAATCTCCTCGTCCTCATCCACGTAGATATCATGATTTAACTTCTTCGGCGAGATGTGTTGTTCTGGCTCATCTGCAACTCTCCCCAGGTCGACAGTGTCACTCTTCACATCGTATTGAAAAGGTGAACTCGGAGGATTGGAGACGAAGTCATCAGACTCGTCATTTCTCCCCGGTGACCGCATCTCCCGGGCAGTAGAGTATTTCAGGTCGTCGTGGTCGTCACAGCCTCCGTCATACAGCGGTCGCTTGGCTGGGTTTGGGGAGACATTCTCTTTGTCGTTGTCGGCTGCGAGGATCTCGTCAATCCCCCGGCGCCGGGCAGTGGTGGGAGGGGAAGTAGGCGAAAGTGCTCGCGCATTGCGACGGGACGGTGATAGAGGAGAAAGAGGTTGTGCCATGGTTGTGGACAGGAGCAGGTCTTTTACCTGCTGGGAGTACACCTATGTGTGTATGTGCGTGTGTGTGTGTAGGGATTTGCAATGGATTGCGTTAGAACTGAAGTCAGGGAATTGTTATTCTTAAACGGGGCATATGTTTGCGGCCGTTGCTACGGTTGACCGCAGCGGGTAAACAAAGCTAAACCTATTTTGGTCACACTGCCACATGTCACGTCACATGTACCGGCAGAATCTCTCCGCCTTGGTCGGAGGACTGTTTGCAGTAATTCATTTCGCAGTTACAATATCAACGCCCTACGTAGCTGAAAACCCGGTACTCTGTAAAAACTCTTCAACGCCTTCCATTTCTATCTCGAATTAGCATTACGTTTAACCGCCGGTCAACCAACTCCCAACTCCATAACCAGAATTCCGTGTAAGAATGCACGCCATGAATCATGTATGTACACAAGTAGACGCCCGTCCTTGGCAGTGTCGGCAATGGACACGAGTAAAAAGAGGACGAGGAAGGGGAAGGCATTAATAATATATAAAACTGAGCAAATAGCGCGTAAATGCAGCCAGGCGGTGATGACTGGGCAGCAATGCCGCTCGCGTCCTCCGCATGCGTCTCCGTTACCTTGGGGAAATAGCTGGGAGAGAGAATTCAAGGCTCGCTACATGGATAGGAATCGGGCTCGGTCACAATGATACGGATGACATCATGATGGTTCGCTGACGATGGACGACGGCCGGCAAGGCATGGCGCTGCCGATCTCACCGTGACAGATCCGTCTTTTCTCCGGTCCATGAACCAGAGCTGCAAGCTGCCAATCAAGGCGACGAAGGAACTTCCCCACCAGGCAATGGCAGTGCAGCCAATTTGAGAGCCAGTACTGTACAAGAAACCGGCCACGGGAGGGGCGATGGTCCGGCAGGCAGCACCCGCCGATGCAGCGAGTCCATTGATCTTTCCCAGCACCGTGGTGGAGGGACTGGCTTGCTTGATGAGGATCAGGAGAACAGGATAGGCGATGATGGAAAGGATGTTCCGAATGACCAGACAGGTGTAAATCCCAGGGAAGAGAAGGTTGCGCGGAAGGAAGACGAGAAATGGAACAATAAAGTAGGTGATGGGATGTAGGACAGTAACTAGGACAAAGAGTCTCCACACGGCTAGCCAATCTGCCAATGGTGGAAAGACGACACTCTGGATGAAGAGAGCAATCAGGCCGTCGACGGACATTACCAGACCCACCGTTCGGGTCGAAAGGCCTAGTCCACCAGGGATATGGAGCGGCGAAAAGTGATCGAAGAGAGTGACGCCTTTGGGCTCGTCCTGCAGGAAAATGGGAAACAGGTGGTCAAAGGTCATCGAGTGGTAGGTGAAGATACCGAGTGCAATGACGAGCATGGTCACCCGCCACGTAAAGACGGCCTGGTCTTCTGGGGAGGAAGGTCGTTCCTTCGCTTTGGACCCATCGGCGTGAACCCGCCAGCTTTCTTCCTGGCGCATATCCACTTGATTGAAGGTTCCATAGGATTCCGCACGCAGGTCAGCGCCCGCGTTGGCCGTGGCGCCCGCTGTCGCAAGCAGGGCCGTTTCCACCGTCGACATGTTGTCATTGTCCCCGGGAAGAAGACTCCTTGGCTGGAAGTCTGGATGGGTCTCTTGAAGGAAAACAGCGCCTCCAATGATGCTAAGCAATAGTAAACCAGCACAAAAGAGATTGGGAAGCAAGAAGGGGAAGCGGCCAAATAAGCCGTCGGGGGAAAAGATGGAGGGGAAACCTTCTACGGGCTTTGCAAGCATGCCTCCAATCGCTGCCATGCAAGCATTAGGAAGGTGTTCTGCTTGATTGAACAGGCGAACTCACCTGGCCCGATGATGGTCCCGATCGACCACACAAACGGCATTACCGCATAGGCTCGAGCTGCCCACAGATTAGCTTGAAGATTGCAACAATTGTGATGAGACAGAGACTTACGCTCATGCTCCGGTCGTTTGACGAGCTCTCCCACCATCGTCTGGATCACGCCAATGTTGCCATTCAAGACGCCGCCCACAATTCGTCCGAGCAAGGCGATCCAGTAGTTGGCGGCGAAGCCGACAATGAGGAGGGACAGCATTGTGCCTGCGCAGCCGAACAGAAGCACCGGTTTGCGGCCGACGCGATCGGAGAGGGCGCCCCAGAACATGCCCGTCAGGGCCTCGGCAAGGGAGAAGGCGGAGATCAGGATTCCAGCGTAGAGAGAGGCGTCATTGGGGTTGCCGACATGGAACTCGCGGACCATCACCCACGAATACGGGAAGATGGAAGTGAGAGCAATTGGCTCGGCCACGCGACATACGGCTGCGGTGGCGTTAGCATGACGACGTCTGCGCACGAGAGGCTTGACGAGATGGGGGGTTCATATACCCAGGAGAAAAAGCTGCGTAGTAGGGAAGGCATCGTCGCTCGAACTGGGTCTTCTCTGACGCGTTGATACCATTGTCTCTTGAATCTTGAAAGATTCTTACCACAACCCGTTCCGCAGGACCACGCAGAGAAATTCGTTCGTGAAGAATAAAGTTTTCTGCGTGGGCCGCCTTCCCAGCGTTTTTATTTTACCTCGAGTCGCACAAACAACTGTTCTGGGCAGAGTCTGCTGCCGCAATGACCGTCCACTTCTGTTGTACGCAAAGAAGGAGGGTGTCGAGTTGGATGCGGCAGACGCGGAGACAGAAGACGACGAGGGGAGCGTGACGAAGAAAGTTAAGGAAGAGGGGGCGAGTGGCAACGGGATGATCCACCCGTCAGGAAAGCTAACGGCGGCGCTGGCCATTTCCGAGTCGACAGGCGAGCAAGTGGAGTTAGCAGAAAAGTTTCTCAACAGTTAAACACTGCGAATTGGGAACAGGGTTGACTATCGCAGAGAGACGGGTGCAACTTGAAACACACCGCCTGACGCTTCTTGTCCAGAGCCTCGCTCCCTCGTGAGCAGACTTCAACGGATAAAGAAACAACTGACAGAAACAAACTGTCCAGCTGCAATTGGGCAGTCGAATTGAGAACTGCATTGGTCTTTAGTGTTGAAAAGGGAGGTTCTGACTGACGCCTCGTCGACAGTGTGCCATTTTCGGCTGCACATGATCACGGAACAGAAGGTTGTTCCCCTCCCGTTTCCGCCCATCATGCGACAGGCACAGATTCGAGGGAACCGTATCCTGTCTAGGCTCTTCCCCTTGCATTGCATTGCATTGTGTTTGCAGAGTACTTCTACGAAGTAGTTGCAATCCTGCATATGAGCGCACGGGACTTGGTTCTGCTCTGCATTCTAGCTTGTGGCGTTCTGCGCGGTCGGTTTCCTTTTTCGGGCGGTCCAGATCCATCCATACGGATGCAATCAGGCCAATTCCGCAAAAGACATGTACTCAGCGTATTTACTGAACAATTGCACTCGAGAAGCACCCAGGAATACTCATGACCTGTCAGCATAACTACGGAGTACAAGTAGTAACTGTAAGACTGACCCAGAAAATCAAGAAAAAAAAAACTGATAAGCATACAGGCTTAGGCGGGGTCACTAGCGACTAGCCTCTTTGCAGCGTGGGTCCTCGTCAAGACCTTCCGCTGCTGATTCGCTCGCGCGCTGCCCCGGTCGGGCCGGCCGCGTCTTTGCTCGCACAGTAATTCAACTCCACCTGATGTGCTGGACTTAAGTTTTTTCTGCCGTCTCACTGAGTTCAAAATAGTCCTGTTTGTTGCACCTAAATACCTACCCAACATTGTTTAATATCTAGGCGTCCTGTCTATGTATAATATATTCGAGTGCGGTTAATGACTCAATGAATTCCTTCATTCATTGACTTTATCTCGCGACGGACTGCTGACCGCGAGTCAGGAGTCCGGTTCTAATTTCCATGAGCAATATTAGTTAAGAAATTAGCCCAAGCACAGCATTAAGTGCAGTGTACACACTACTGCAAGGTTAGCTCTGCTGGCAATCCTTCTGCGCGGGGAAGACGAACAATTTCTGTTATCCTTTGCCAATTCTTGTTTATCTAATACCCCACTTGGAAACTGGTCGAGGGCAGGTACTGTACCTTTTCTGGCAACTACCTATGGGAGCAAGCACTGCAGTAATGGGCCAAACTCCAGTCTGTAAAATGTCATTCAACCTACCCCGCCGGAACGAGCTGGCTGCTACGGAGTACTCCATTCATCATGCAAATGACGATCTAAACAATACACACGCAGTAGTACTCCGTATTCTGGTGTTCTTGTTTTTTATACATGTCCCTTCACAGCGAAATCTGATTTTAAAAGTTCTCAAATAAGGCAGGCATAGATTGTTTTTCTCTTTCCCAATGAAACTGAAGAAACTGAAGCTCTGGAATACCTAGTCCAGAGAGCGATACACGTGACATGGCTGATTGATTGGTGTTTTTTCTGTGCATTCTGCATCCCTGCGTGGATTGGAGCAAACTGACCAGGTAGTCACCTACTCTAATAAGAAGGGATGATGATGGTATGATGGCATATAGATAAGTTTGCTGTCAGACAGACAGCAGACACCACCTCTAAGATCTAATGCTTCTTAGATTGCAGATAGATGCCTCATTTAGGGAAATTTTATATTAGGCAAGATTGCCTACAGCTCAGCTGCCTTTCAATTGAACCTGGGGAGAAATATCGCCGAGGAGCCCGCCTCGATGCTCTTAGCATAGACCAGTATTTCTCCCAAGGCAGTCGAGAGAAACGAGAAGAATAGGTATATGTTCATTCATATCGACTGCAATGGGTATACTGTCCAAACGCACACACTGTCCCTGCCAAAATGACCCTGCTGATTATGCGCCAAGCCGGAAAACACCATGCCAAACTAAACCCATATGCCGGAAATAACCCATCTTCGATATGTACTATAACGTGCAGGAGAATGTGAATTCAAACGTATTGCGAGGATGACGCTACCGCTCCGTATTTTCTGAAACGGGTATGTAACTCCTTCGCTCCTTGGCGGTCTGACACGATGCTTAGCGTGTGAACGGTCCCTGCAGAGCATAGATACGCACCTCAATCCACCGCTGGGCCCATGGCTTTACGCCCGCCCAGACAAGCAAGGAGCTTGTCGCGAAGATAAAAATAAACACAACCGCCTCGTCTTTTCTCGAGTCTCGCTCTGCATACGCATTAGTCTCCATCCGAGGCTAGTCAAAACGACCAATCCCAGCGTGGAACCCTACGAAAACACGTCGTCACGATATCTTCCTCCTTGGCCCCTCGACACTTGGGCAGATTGTACTCGAGACAGAATTTCCGGTTGCAGTCGTTGCAGCTGAGGGCTCTGTGTTCGCGGCCGCCCTCCTCGTCGTCGCGACGCCCCATCTGGAGGAAATTATTCCCGTTAAAGTCGGGCGCCGTGGAACCGACATCTGGCGGCCGCAGCTCGATGATGGTGCTGTTGGAGAAGCAGGTACATTTGCAGAACGACGTCGGCTCTAGAGCAGGAAGAGAGTGCTCATGGTCAGCAAAAGGTACTTTCTAGTAATATATTTTATTGGAATCAAAATTGTGGGGGAAGAAAAGCAATGCACAGGTAATAGCTGTATCTCGGTATGCGGCTGCCACCGGAATCACATGTGCGGTCGAATTGAAACTTACTTGCAGCCAGAACGGTCGTAATGCATGAAAGAATAGTCAAGAGGTATATTAAATGGAACACCCCTGTCCGTTGTATCATTGTGGTCGTTAGAATGGAAGACTAATGGTTGATACTGGATAAGCTGATCTTCAACGGAGATCGGAGACGGCAGCCACGCGGCGTCATCGGCGGATCCCCGGATTACGTAAATCACGTGATATGGGAAATATACGTAGTAGTCTCTACGTGTACGATCAAAAGTCATCAGAGCATTTTTATTAGCGTAGTACTATCGTATGTAACGTAAAAACATTATTATCCTTTGCCGGGTATCAACGCTAGCTAGGACACGGATGAGCGCACAACACACCCGCGTCAACTATGAACGACCCTTCAATCCCTTCCGCCGATTCTCCTGCTGTCTCTTCTCCTTTGCAGCCTCCCGTCGCCTTCTCTTCCAGGCCCTATTATTCTCGCCTCTGTGTTCCCAAAACCACTTCGCAAACTCGCTCTCTTCTGGTTTTCCTGGCCCAGACTCGCGAGTTTTGGACGGTGTGGTGCCAGCCTCGTCGCCGTCCACATCCTCCATCTCCTCGTCGCTCGCTTGATTCCAAATAGAGGTGCGATTGGCAAGGGCAGTGTCTGGGGTGGGAGCGCCGCTTCGTACCCCTCGAGATTGAAGGTCTTGTTTGGTAAATGGAGTCAACGGTTCGACTGCGCCACCTGTGTCCTCTTCGTCCTCGTCGTCATTACCTCCGAAAAAGGTGAATTCGCTATCGACTCCCGATTCCGGCTTATTCTTTTCAGAAGACGCCGGTCGTTTGAAAAGGGCCTCCAGAGGATGGACTTCTTTTTGCTCCGTCGCGGCTTTTGGTTCGTCGGAGCCTTCCACTGACGATGATGAATCAGATTCATCCGCTGCAGCCTCATCAGCCTTCTCAGGCTTGGCGGACATCGTTTCTGACTCCTGGCTCTCGCTCTCATCCGAAAACGATTCCGCAGACGATTCCGATTCAGACTCGTCTTCGTCATCCGACGACGTATCAGAAGAGGTGGTATCTTCTTCCTCATCACTTTCAGATTCGGACTCGTCGTCCGTGATGCCGCTCGACGAGGTCCAATCGGATTCTGAATCCTCGCTCGTTTCTTCCGTCGACGAATCTTCTTCTGGAACGGGCGATTTCTTTCTCTTCTTTGATGTGCTTGGAGACTCGACTTTCTTCAGTGACACCAGCTCCTTGGCACCATCCTTCTTGCCGGGTTGATAGGTCGGCTTTGTGATTTTGTCGCTGACAGGATCTTTGACGTTGCCATCCTCGTCGACCCAGCCTTTCCCTTCCACATACTCGGCTGTGACCTTCTTCCCGTCTTCTCCCGACTTGACAAACGTAGGATGTGTAGTGGATTTCGCGAATTCGTGGACCACCACCTCATTTGGAGACTTGCCCTTCTTCGACTTCTTCTTCTTGCCGACAGATTCGGGGGGCAACCGATTGGGGGGAGTCTTTGTTCGAAATAGGCATTCTGCTTTGTCGCTGTATTTGGATTTGGCCTGGGCCTTCGGTTTCTTGCCTTCTTTCTCACTGTTTTTGTCTGCCTTGCGCAGTCGCTTGTCTTTCTTCACACTGGCTGGTTCTGTCCAACCTCGTTTTACCTTGCGATCGGCAGGCAGTTCGTAGCCCTCCAGGACCCCATCCTCAGCCTTGCGTTTCTTGGAATTTTTCTGCGGGGTGGATTTGGTGTCACCGGCCGAGTCTTCTTCTGTGTCTTTCGTCCTCAGCGGCGGCGGACGAGCGACCTCGACCTTCATTTTTCTGCCCTTGAGGAAGGAGCCATTCAGCTTCTTCTTCAGCTTGTCTGCCTCCATGGATGGGAGGCTAATGTAGCCGTAGCTGTTTTCGGGGAAGGTCGGGATGGTGTGGAAGGAGATGTCCGTCGCCAGGGGACGGACGGACGGCGCGAGGATGGAGTCGAGAAGCGCAGGCGTGAGAGGAGAGATGTGAAGGCGCGTGATGTCGGCGGTCATGGCAGCATGGCCGCGAGCTTTGCGATACAGACAACTGGTCACGGGGCCAATGCAAGACGACGACGGGACTCGACTCAAAAAAAAACAGTAAACGCAGTAAACACTATTCTGTACTCCGTACACAGAGCGAGTCCCACACCGCTGCAGGGGATGGACGCCCTTCTGCTGCTGTACCGGAATTGACTTTGTTCTGCTGAAGATTTTCCATGCCGGAGAGCTGCGGCGCAGACTCCACCTCAGCCACACCTGCCGACACTAGCACATCCTGACGTAAAACGCTGCAAAGACTCGAAACAAGACATCTCGTTATCCCAGGGCAGAAATATACACAGCGAGCACCATTGAGCGGTTCTCGCCGTCATTAATTCATCCGTCGCGATTTCTGCAGACTGTCGTGTTGTCGGGCTTCTTTGCGGCCCAGCCACAGCCAGTGCCCGGCCACCCGTCGCCTTCCTGGCTGCGTCCTCCACTTCCCCCTCGCCATCGGCATCAGCATCACCAGCATCGTCACTCCTCGTCCTCTTCCATCTCCACCTCTGTCTCTCGCTCCCCTCGACTCCCCGTCCGCCCTCACCGTACTTCAATCACCGCTATTCTTACCCGTCGTCGTGCCTGTCTGCCTACGCATCCGGGCATTCCATCCCTGCGCCCTCCGCCACCGTTCTCGTCGCTCCCCACTAATCCGTCCCAACCGCCAGCCTTAGTCACCCTGTCCACCGCTCACATGGCCTCCCGGATCTGCTTATCGCGGCGACCATGAGCGCATGATTGACTCGTCCTGCTCGCCTGGCAACCAGCGGTCTCGTTTATCTGCACCTCTTCTTCTCTCTCATCCCTCCTCTCCCGTCCTCCTCCTCCTCCTCCTCTGTGCTCGTTTCTGCCTCTGACGTCGTTGCCTGTTTCTGTCCGTCCGGTGCCGGCCGTCCGCTATCACCGCTTCCCCGCGACTCCCGCGCTACGGCATCATCATGGGGAACTCCCAGACCAAGGAGGCTCGACATGCCTCCTCGCCCTCCCGTCGTCACCATCGAGGCTCGTCCCCCTCCGACTACGGTCGCTCGCCCTATCATGGGGGTGAGGGTTCCCGGTCTGGCCGCGCGAGCCGCCCGGATCTGCCATTCCTCGGCATTGGCGGAACCTCCGACAGAGATGTGGCTTCGCTCGAGCAGCGACGGGAAACGAAGCAGGAACGTGAGGCTCGTCGCCTGGAGAAGGAACGAATCGCCCGAATCAAGGAACGGGAACGGAGCATGAAGGAGGAGCATGTCGATGGAGGCTATCTGGTCACGCAGGGTGTCTATACCGGCCCGGAGGACTTCAACAAGGCCATCGTTCGGCAGTTCATGGTACAGCATCTTGACCCTGTCGCTCGATAATGACCTGTGCTGACACTCGCATTGCAGATTGAACGCCGACTCGCCCCGTTCTGGAGAGGTCTCAACGACTTCTCCGATTCATGGACCGAGCACCAGCTCGTCGCGGCCGCTCGAGGCCTGCCCATCCCTCCAGCGGACCAGATTCCTCCCGAGTTGGAGGACACGATTCGCCCCAAGCCCGCCGAAGGCAGCACAGAGTCGCCGGACAAAGATGCGCAGTACCTGACCGTCCCCATCTCATCGAGATCGCCCTCGTTCACGTCGGATACGTCCCAGAACGCCCAAGGAGCCCAGTCCCTACCGTCGACGTCCCCAATTGCATCCGGGACGTCGAGTTCGCCCATCTTCCGCGGGCGCGCAAAGACGCTGGCGGCTCTCGCTACGTCCAAGGGCAACAACGCCGATATGTCACCGCGAGAGGTCATGCTGCCCCATGATCCATTCGTCAATGGCCAGCCCATCGAGGCTTATCTCTACAAAGATGCTACAGAGTGTCCCATCTGTTTTCTCTACTATCCGCCTTACCTCAACCGGACCCGCTGCTGTGATCAGCCCATCTGTTCGGAGTGCTTTGTCCAGATCAAGCGGCCCGAGCCACACCCTCCTGAGCATGGTGAGAGTAACGCCAATGCGAGTTCCGAGGGTGGTGCTGGTGGTGAGCAGCAACGAGGGAACAACGACGGAGAGTGGCAGCTGGTGTCAGAGCCCGCCGCCTGTCCTTTCTGCGTCCAGCCCGAGTTTGGTGTCACGTACAACCCTCCTCCGTTCCGACGCGGATTAGTCTACGCGACCCCCAATGGCTCGCGTCCAGGACAGGCGACGCAGGTGACGTCTCCTGTGTCTTCTACCTCCTCTCTCGCCTCCTCCAACACAGCAGCAAACGGATCCCAGCCGGCGACCACCGGACGCCGTCGCGCTACGTCGCTTTCGGCCAACGATCCCAGTGTGATCACTACCGATATGATTCGCCCGGACTGGGCTCAGAAGCTGGCCAATGCGAGAGCACAAGCGGCCCGCCGGGCGGCGGCGGCCACAGCCCTCCATACCGCGGCATATCTCATGAACTCTCCTGGAAATGAATCCCGGAATTCTGGGGGCCGGAGAGGCGTCCTCCGAAGGACGGGAGGCGGTGGATCCGGCAGTCAGAGTCCCAGTAACTACACCGGTTCGCCAGCGCTCCATGCCCTTGCATTTCTGTCGGAGCGACGGGGCGGAGCCGACCAGCAACACGGCGAAGAGGGAAACCTGGCCCCGCCCCGTGGAAGTTCAAGACGCAGCCGGATCGACGATCTGGAAGAGATGATGATGATGGAGGCAATCCGGCAGAGTTTGGCAAGCGAGGAAGAACGACGGCGGAAAGCCGAAAAGGAAGTCCAAGAAGGAGGCCAAACGGAAGGAAAAGGAGGCCAAAAAGGCGGAGAAGGCGGCGCGCAAGAACAGTATTTACAGTCAGAACCCGAGCAGTGCCGCCCTCATGTCCAGCAGCACCTTTAGTCGCGTGGAAAGCAGTTCGTCCTCCGTTCTCGGCGAAGAATCCTCCGCGACTGGCAAGGGGAAGGGCGTGGAACGCGTAGCTCCTGGCGCCAGTGACATTGAGTCCGGCCCCAGCAGCTCGAGTCCATCCCAATTCGCGGATCCTTCTCCGTCGCACGTGCAGCCATCGCCTACGGAACCATCCCGACCGTCCCATCTGCGGCATATGTCGAATGTGTCGTCGGCTTCGTCATCATTTGTCGATTCCACATCGGGAGAACAGATCGGATCGGGGACTCTGCCGAATGGATCCAACCCAGCGTTGGAGCCGATGTTCAATTTCCGGAGTCTTGCCGCTGTGATTGGCGACGAGGAGAAGGGGAATGGCTCTGCGGAACATGTGGAGGAGGCCGTTCCGCCGCAGGCCGAGAATTCGGCGGCAGCGGAGGCCAAGCCGTCCAACTCAGAGAACGCGGTGGCTGTAGAGGGTCAACCTCCACAAGAGGATGTGGCGAGTCTCGTTCCAAAGGAGCTCGAGGCCAACTCGGTCGAGATTCCTCGGGAGGCGACGACGTAGGCATTTGCAACGTTTTATTTTTATTTCGCCTTCAGGGAAAACGAGTTTGGGATGAGTGTGACGCTTGTCACTTCTCTTCATCTACTACTTCGATCAGACAGGACCTCTACCCTACGATGTAAATGCTTTAGCGGCGTCTGTAGCGGGCGTGTCGCAGGCTTATGTGGTTTTCTGCGATAGATCTGTGACATTATCTCTGCTGTTCAATTCCATTCCTTCAGCTGGGCTGCCAAACGTTCCGAGTACTGTCGACACTGGTCATTTCTTTTTACATTTCCCATATATATTGGGTGCAAGTCTTCGTCATCATTTCATCTCTCATCTCCAATTCTGACGCTCTCCTTTGACCGATCCCATCGCCTGAGATCAGACTGCTCATGTCTTTCCTTTTTCTTTTCCCTTTTCGTCTCTTGTTTCGTGGACATAGTTGCATTTTGCAGGCCAGGACTGTCGTGTTATGTTACGGGATGGGGTCTGATAGGTTAGATATGAACTGGACGGTTAGGAGTATATATTGGCAGGAATCATTTGTCGAGCCTGAGTTTTGCTCTCTGTTGGCGATGCGTAGTGCGTAAATCTGTAGAAGTTGCCACAACTGGACATTCGAGTAGTTACTTCCTACGGCATGAGAACCATTAACAGCATCGTTAGTACGGTGGTATATGGAACGTCATGCTACGGAATTACCTATATCGTATATACATCGTATGAGGATCCTGTCCTTAACAAGCTTTTTATAATCCATTATATATCAGAGTTAATAGAGTAATAATAAATCCCATTATAGACAAACGAATTAAGGTATCAATCTATGCATATACTCTCAGAAAAAAAAAGAAGAGAGAGAGAGGGCGCTGAAATTTCCACATTTTTAATAGCGGATAGTAATCAAGTTAAACTACTCTTAGCATGTATATGTATGCATTGTACTGTACGAACCCGTTCTACACATTATTGTCATTGTCCTCTTTCTTGTCTGCTAAATTTGCCTGGACATATATATATTAATCAATAGAATCCAGCCGTATTCAGCGCTCACAGAAATAGGTAATCACCATCCTGCCGTTCGTCGTCGTCCGCTCTAATTAGCATCAACTTGATTGTTGTATTGTATAGAATACGATACAGTCCATCCAATCCAATCCAATTCTTGAATTTCGTTATGTCTGACTGTTTTCCCAAGGAGCAAGATTTCCCATGTTGGGCTACTAGGAACTGGTTTCTGAGTGACATTCTAGTTATATTCGGAGAATGATAAATTCATTCATTCCCTTTTTTTTTGTCTTTTGCCAAATTACCCCTATAGACAGACAAACGGCCAGTGAAACAACAACATAACAACATAATAACAACAATGTAGCACAGCATAGCACAGCATAACACAACACAACACAACACAATAATGTACTGTACATACATACCTGACTGATAAAATAACTAAAACTAGCTCCCTCCTCCTGGAATGATTGATCCATACTGTCTGTCTGTCATACTGATCATACATGTCATACTGTACCGTAGGGAATAAAAATAATGGCATTCATTCATTCCATAATTACCTACTACCTGGAAACCAACAAAGGGAGAAAGAAAAAGAGAAAAGGGGAGAAAAATAATATTCTCAATTCAAGAACTGTACAGTAATAATCTACAGTCAACTCCGTCCTACCTACGGACCATGGTCCTACCATTGTACTGTACACGTGAGGGTTCTAAGAAAGAATGATATTGTGTCAATTCATTCCGTTAGTAACTAATATCCAACCACCTGCGCATATTATTAACACATTATTAATTATTATTAGATTGTGTTAGATTTGCTATCTCCTAAACTCTAAAGGTTAAGTTAGGTTAAGTCAGGTACGTTAATTAGCTATCAAGAAAGAGGCTACTATTGCCTAGAGAGCAAGCGAGCGGGGAAAGGGAAGAGAAGTGGAAAGGGAAAGGGAAATGAATGCCGATCGCCAATTGAAAAATGGATGGAAATCACAAGGACTTACCTAATTCGTAGATGGACAAAAACATCCATGGATGTCTACATATCAACCAGCAGGCCATCGACGGGTCCTGTTTAGTTGTCATAGCTGTCTATCGATATATCATCTGTCATGAATATCATCATCATACTATTGGACTGTAGATCATTTGTTTGTACAGGTACGTTTTGACAAGCCCATTCAGCTAGAGGGAAAAAGCGAATGAATGAAGAAGCAAGATCTGATCCCAGATAATAACTCACTTCATTATAGCTATAGCTACTGGGTAGATCAATAATCAATATGTGGGTATGTACTGTACATACATACATAGTTCACATTAGTGACGATTTCCCAAGCAACCTGCCTACCTACCTGTAACCTAGTCCTAATAACCTAGGTAGTATTAAATTCAAATATTCAGGCAGGTCTTTAATATACCTCCCCAGCTATGCTGCGGAGTACTCCGTACGCAATTCAAGCCGTTAATTATTAATAAATTTATAACCTCAAAACTAAGCCTAGCCTAGCTACATATCCCTACTACCTAATTACATAGTTTAGTTAGTCAAGAAGAAGCTCTTAAAGTATTACTTTATTCTTATTAAGCTAAGCTAGGCCTAAGCTAAGTACTCTGTACCTAAACAGCGTAATGCGTAATGCGTAATGCCTGTCCTGGTTTAATTAATAATACGGAGTAACCCCAGAACTACTCCTTAAAAAAAAAAACTGCCTAAACTGCTTAAACTACCCTAACCAGCCGGTCCAGCCCTAGAGGGAGTCGGGGACAGACATAACAGATGAACGGTGCGCGGAACGCCATCCGATTGGGCTAGACAGAAAAAACTCACTTTTTATTCTTTCTCTTTTTTTGAATCCCGGGATCCGGGACACCACCCTATTTACCCTACTTACCCTACGGTCCACTCTACTTGGCTGGCTGCATGATCTACCGACCTAATACCGACTTACAAGGGAACTACTGCAGGTGACACCGTGCAAGCTTGTCAACCTGGCCGCCAGGTAGGGAGACAGATTGGCTTGGACAGCCGCAGGATGAACCTTGTACATACGTACATACATACCGTGCACAACTCCTCGTATATGCAGGTATGAACGTACATGGCATACATACAGAGCATATGGCGAAAATCTAGAACTCGTTTGTTTTTTCTTCCTTTCGGCCGTTTTTTTCCTTTTCGTCAGACAGATACCGGTCGGCCGGCTTTTTTTTCCTTTCGTTTCTTTTTCGCCCCCTTTTTGATCATTCATGTATCTGCCAATTAGGCTGGGCTGATCGCACCGTTGAAGATTCGAGTCATGCATCTCCAACTCTCGCTGAACCTGACTCTAGACTCTGCTCATGCAGTCTGCTTATCTGAGAAATCATCACATGCTGCTGCGGGATCAAGCGTATGATTCGTATCCTATCATTCCTGACCGTTGGAGAGATGCATGGCTCTGTCTTACTCCATCCTCATGAGGCTGTTCCATAGGTACTGTGCTGCGCATGTATACGTGCATGCACCCTAACTACTGTCCGCCGACACGTACCGAAGACCCCTTACTGACGTCCTGCCCAACTGAGACACCAGCAGATGGCATGCCACGCATCGAATACTGCTGATTTTTTCTGTCTTCTCTTCAAGCAGTTGTCCGACCCTGACTCTTGGCGGACAGCTCCGGGTCATCCTTCTATCGGCCCGTCGCACCAACATGCCGGCCTGGAAGAAAGAAAAAAAATTCTCGACGACGCAACATGCCGACTCCGCTTAGTAACTCCTATGTATATGTACAGAATAAGTATCTCGCTCAAGGCTGATGGAGATCGTCAGGTCCCTTTCGCTTCCCGCATGTGGAAGGATCTGAGGCTGGCCACCTGCCTAAAAGAGAAGGATGCCTAAGTCAACCAAGTAGTGCGTCGTATCCAACGGTCGCCGTGCAGGATTAGCGACAGCTTAGCATGTGCTTTGGCGATCACCCGCTCTTAGTCCTCCCATCCGGTCGCCGGGGCCCTTGATTAGCGCTTTTCGTCCCCCAGCTGGTCTGGTATCTGGCTCAAGACAAGCTGTGTTTGTATGCGCCTGGCATAGTCCAAGCCCTTGATACGCTCCTTGATATTAGTAAACATGCCTGGTCTCGGACAACCAGAGCCGATGCGCCGACTCGAAATAAGCTATGCCACTGACGTGTGGATCAGTGGATCTGCCCACGAGGGAAACGCCGTTAGTTCTGCCCTAAATTCGTCTAAAATGCAGGCCAGAAATTCCTCAATTTTGCGCACCAGGACACCTCCACGCTTGCGACTCACCCTGCATGAGACCGCCAATCCGTTTAGCCTCCACAGATCCGGATGATCGCTGGCATGGGGGCATCCCATGACCAATGCCTGATCGTCACACCCTGGCCTAGTTTCCATATATCCATGTAGCAATCGCCCTCGCTGGCGTAGTCAGGGTGTTTGCATTCTGCACTGCCAAGATTCTTTGCCGCCAAAAACCATGCCTGGCGCTTGTTGGATTCGAGTCGCTTCTTGACGCGCCACCAGCTGTCACCACTCGGGAGCCAGCACAAAGCCGTCATCAATTGTGTCAACGGCATTTCCGGCTCGCCATTCACGACCCTTCTCCATCCCTTGCTAGATTGGTCGTAGCCCCCCGTTGCTTCCCATAGAGTGCCAAACCGTGTAGCAGGGGTGCGTTCGTAGCTATAGTCCCTTTCCAGGGTCGCCAGTCCCACCGGGATCGACCGAGCGTTGTGGAATGCCGATCAGAAAGCTGATCGGATCAGAAAGACATATAAAGTTCAAGCAGTACCATCACCATTGGCCTCCCGGAGAGCAATCTTGTGCTATGTAGAAGACAAGAGACAACAGGCCGGATCGTGTCTCATGTCCCACCCAATGCATTTGGATCAGAGCCTCACCCCGATGGATGCGAATAAAAGAGTGGCCCTGACTGGCCGTCGTGCAAAAGCGAAGTTTCGGACCTTATATTCCTGCATCAACTGTCGCCGGCGCAAGGTCAAAGTGGGTGCAGACACCAACCACTTGTCACTCGACTGAAGGCTGACCGAATGCGGTGCACAGTGTGACCGTGTCCAACCCTGCTATGCATGTTGTCTTCGCGGAATTCCCGATGAATGCACCTATGTGGCCAGCGGTGACAAGCGCAACTACATGAGCCAAGCAGACGCAATCGCAACCCTGCGCAATGAGGTCAAACTCCTCAAGAAGAAGGTGGCCGAATACGAACAGGTACCACGAACCTGCGACAGTCGAGCAGGCGCAACTGGTCTGCATAACTTCAGTCACGGAGGATCCTCATCGGATCCCCGATATTTGGCTCTCGAAGCCATTGCCGGCGCCCTTGCAACCACGTGCCCGGCAGCCTGCGAGGAGATCGTCGACCAGATTCGGACCGGCACCGACCTGGCAATTGTAGCCACCTCTGCGTTAGCTGAGTTGACGCCGCCCGCGAGTCTTGTAAGCAACAATTATCCATGGAATGGTTCGGATGGGAAGGCGATGGTCGGCGGTGCGATGCTTTTGGATGGCGGGTTGGAGCCTCCGTCGCCGGGACTGCAACGCTCGTCTCCTTCACCGTCAGACTGGATGTCTCTGGCCGAGTCTGATGCCATGGAAACCGAATTTATTCTCGACCTGTCCATCCCAGGCCTGCCGCGACATTGGGAGTCCTACTCGCCGTTCTTCATTGATAAATTCATCAACGACTTTGCTCCGCCCAACCCCTGGCGCCATCGATCAACGACTTCCCAGCTGGACACGTCCTGGTTGCGGACCCTGGCGCACAATATATCCTCTTTTCCCTTCTCCAAGTGCTCTCTCCGCTGTGTGGCCACGGCATACTGCGGCAAGATCACAGGTGTTCCAGAAATCTCCTTGTCGGCGCAAAACATGTACGCAGCCAGCTTGCGGATCTTGCAATGCAGCCTTGCAGCTGGAGCAGAATCGTCCACGGACATCATATGCAATGCATTGACGCTGTGGCTCTTCGAGGTACGTCTTCAACGTGCAGAACACTGCAACGACATGACCGCTGACACATGCGCAGTTGATCAACTCTAGTTGCCCGGCTGGGTGGATGAATCATCTTCACGGCGTCCAGAAATTGTTTGAACGCCGCGGTCCGCAGAATGCGATTGCTGGGATTGAGCACAGAGCCTTCCTATTCATTCGCCTTCATGGAGTGAGATAGCCCCGTCTTCCAGCGCTCGCAAAAAAAAAAGCTGACTAGAAAAAAATGTAGATCACGGACGCGATCACTAGACGACGGCCAAATTTCCTCTCGAGCAGTGAGTGGAAAACGGTGCCATGGTCATTGAACCCTTCTGGGAAGTCACCACTCCACCGTCTCCTCGACCAGGCGGCCGATATTCCCGGGCTCCTGCTCGCATATGACGATATCACGGAGCGATTCAATCGAGGCCGTCTTTCTCCAGACGAGAAAGAGTCCCTGTGTTCGTGTCTTCTGTCCCGCTTGGACCGCCTGATCGATACTCTCAAGCTGTGGAGGACACATTTTGATAAGCAACCCTCCAGCTATCTAGTCGAGATGCCTGTCGTCAACAGAGGCAAGAAGAACGCTCAGAACTGGTCAGATCACCGCCGCTTCGGCTTTCCATCACCGCCATTTCCCGGAAACCGCCATGACGGTACCCAGCTGGAAACCGCTGTATACTATTCCGACGGCTTTGTAGCTCAATGCCTGAACCTGTATTACGCCTGTATAATCGTCCTCTTTCGTCTTCGAGCCGAGTTGCACCCAATGTCGGCAACCAGCGACATCTACGACTTGGCATGCCGCATCTGTCGGGGTGTTGAGTACCAGCTGTTTTATACCCCTCCTGGGCCCGGCGCACTCTGGACTGTCTTCCCCCTTTCGCAGGCATACCACGCCTTCACAGAAGGAAGTCCTGAACGGGCTTGGATTGATGGTCTGCTCACATGGATGGACGAGAAGTCCCCATTCATTATCAGTCGTCTTGTCCGTCCAGAACTGGATACTGCTGTTCTATACTAGTTGGATTTATATCAACGTAATAATATTTAATTTTGCCAAAATACCCGTCTTAAATATGTAGAGCCTGATGTCTCCTCCGCTCCGTAATGTCACCATTTATTGGCGTTGACTTGGAGTGCTGTCAATATCGACTGTATTTCCCAAGCATGATGGAGAGGTAAATGCTGTCATATGTCAGAAACAACAAGTCTGGTAGTTCTATGTAGACGATCAGTAAGTGATGTCTGGACAGGAGCTTCCAAATCAAAACAATAATTGCCAATCTTACGTGGATGATTAGTATGAAATCGCCACTTGGGATTCGAGTTTCGTTCTTGCTTGAGATGGTGACGGAGCCGATCTGCAGCGAGAAGAGAAAAAGTTAAGTCACGTGGCACAGATATCTATGTCACAATAATATTTCATGTATATGCAAAAATTGACTCCTGTAGATATACAGTTCGTATGTACAGTACAACACAGTAAATTGCAGCTACAGGCAAATCAGATCATTGGCAGAAATGGCTGATCCAAAACGGCATCGGGGACAGGCGCCGGTATATCATGCTTGAAAAGGGTCAGTTGACAGAAGCACCTACTTCCATTCTAGAGCATCAGAACGGCAAGAGTCAGTCGGATCCAAAGCAGAGCGACGGATAAGGTCAAGAAGAGGTACAATCCGCCAGGGGGGAAACGTATGGGTGAAACATACCTTGAAGCCATGCCTTTACAAAGGCAGCTTCTGCTTTTTGGGTATCTGCCACTGGCTTTGGAGGGAGGCTGGGGGTCGTCTCGTTCGGAAAGAGTCCGTTCTCATCCCCTTGTGTTTTGAAAGAAAAACGTCAGTGGATCACCCAAATATAAAACCGGACACCGAAAAGAACACTAGAGAGAACAGAAGTAGGACTTACAATGATGAACAGCACCCTCCATCTCAATAAATGGGCGGTCAATTGTGTTTGGTCGGGGTTTGGCTTGATCTGCCAGGGGCGTCGCTGGCCTCCAAGGGTCCGCCTGGCCACCGATAATGGCGAGTCGAGAATAAGTAATGTCGAAGCCACCATACTGGTTCACAATCTCAACATCAGGAGGGGTGGTGATGTTGAAGGCATCGCGACAGATGATACTCAAGTACTCGAGATCGATAGAGCGTGAGATCAATGGGAGCTGATTGCGCGGCACGCCACTGCCAGTTTGCAGGTAACCATATCTTTATTCGAGTGTTAGTTGACTCGTGTAGGAACTTCATCTTCTGGGGGCGCACTTACTCGGTACAATATTGGTATGGCCAGCTTCTCCACTGTTGGCTGATATCATCCTGCTCGTAGAAGGTTGCGTTGTGTGTCGTGAAACACTGGTCTGCAGTCTGGCCGCCGCTGAGACAAGGCCAAATAGAGGTTTGATTGAGCCATCCAATAAAATTGAGCAGCCGGTTCGTGAGCTGTGAGGCCTGTTGTCCATATCCGCCCGCGGTAATGAGTTTCTTGGCCTGGGATGCTTTGCTGACGGTGGTATTGTAAAGCGTGGAGTTGGACGTGATATTGCCACAGTATTCGAAAAACGTCGGGTCGTTCACTGCCGGATCCCAGTTTCTGTTCTGCCACGAACCAAGTGGGGTAGAGAGCACGTTCGCGAAATCATCGTTATATGTGAGATTTTGCAGCCCAAATAGCGATTTATACTGAGTGATTAAACTGGAATCATTGCGCGACGATTGCAAGAGGTTGTCGAGAATGTGGGTAAACTTCTGGGTCGTGCTAATGCAGTCAGGCGGGCCGAACTCCCTGATGGGCTCAAAGTATTCCCAGTAATCGTAAATGGCCTTTGTGACGCCAGAAGAAGAGATGGCTCCAAAGAAGATGTCCGGATACACGACCCTAAGAAACGCGACAAAGGCTCCTGCGTACGAGCCTCCATAGGCGATGTACGGGACATTGGGCGCGGTCAGGTTCTGGTCCTCCAAGCCCTCAAAGACGACGTGCTGAGCAAAATAGGCCGCATCCGCGAGAGCCTGTTGCGTGGTCAAGAAACGCAAGTTTTCCGTCGAGAGATCAGGGGTGGGAAAACTTTTGCCATAGTAACGATGTTCCAGAACGACGCCAATCCCATTAGTTGCCTGCGCCAGCTGCGCAAGAATCCCTTTCTGAAGATAGGGTAAACGCTCTCGAAGGCCGTTAGCACGGCTGATTGTTTAGAAAGATTAAGCGTTCTTACCGGTTCCATCGGTCTCTCCGCCCTCGAGAACAATCACAGGACCGCCCTTCTTGTAATGGCTGGCATCGAACCAGTAGCGCAACTCGAAGGTGTCATTGGTGTGTGGTTCATATTTGGACTCATTGTGAAAATGATCGATTGGCACGGAAATGGTGTGGGCAGGATACAATTGCGAGGGGTCGACATCTCGTGCATGATGCTGGGAGCCAGAGCTAGTCCGGACCTGGAGATCTTGTCAGTTCCAATGGCTCCCACAAGATAACGGCGACAATGTGGAGAATCGATCTATTGACCTTTTGGCGCAGCTCGTTGATCGTCGAGGCAACGCCAGCGGCTGCGACATGGACGAGCGTTAGGAGGGACAGGACAAGCTTGGCCTGCATGGTGTCAGGAAGGAGCTGCTGCGGGGGATGGGCTCTGCAGTGCCAAACCTGGACCAAGGATCGGCTGTTTCCTGGAGCCACCGCCCCTGGCTATATAAGCCGAGCAGACGCATTGCTTATCTTAATTTTGGGAGGGGTCAATAGTGGGAATTAGCTATTGTATCAGAGTGGAGTTGTTGTCACATCGGGAAGGAGATCAGCTTCCCTCCGCGCTAAAACACCGTCTTGTTCCATCGCGCAGGAGCTTGGGCCTTGATCTCCCGGTGACTCCGATGGCCAAGATATTCGTGTCTTTGCAGCATATACGGAGTAGGTAGACGTCAGATGCAAGGACTGGATTCAATAATCATTCCAAGTCGCCAAAGATCGAGTTATGAGCGGAGTTTGGTTGCCCTTTGTTGAAAGAATTGGCGGTTGCTTCGGTTTAGGTACGGTATTTTAGTCGCGATCACGCATAACCCCTCACTGGTCACGTCAATGCAAGCTCGAATAATACGTCAATCCACTTGGGATCTAATTATATCAGACACATGAATTTCAACTTACAGAGTAACTGCGATGCCAGTAAAAGACACATGGGACCTGATGGGACGCTTCCACAGATTTCTCAATCAGCATTGGTGGAACACGCTTCCTAAGCTTGGAAGCTGACGGCAGCCATGAGCTGCTTAGCAATGAAACCTCGCGGCGTATAGTGATTCTTTGACATGACAACCAGTGGGACTTGTTACTGCGGAGTAGAGAGTAAACAGAGACACAGGAAATATTTGGTGCTTCCAGATGGGTACCTTAGTATGTGAATCCGCCAATTGCAGCAGACTCATAACAAAGCATGGATGCCTACTTGATCCTGCAAATCTGATTGAGAAAACAGTCTACCGAAAATATATAGTTAGGTAAGGACAAGTCTTCAATACAACAGTCGGTGATACTCATAGCCATTCAAGTTGCCGTTTCATTTCCTACATGCTCCTTGTTTATAGCCAGCATTGAGAATAAAGGTTGCCAGATACATAGTTATCTATTTTTATTTTTTGAGTTCAAGACTTTTGCGGATGCCTCGGTGACCTAAGATGGTAGGAAACAACAACCATGTCTTGGATACGTGTTCAGCCTCTAGACAGGGCAGGACGTATGGAGAAGTTCGGAGATGAATTGCAGCTGGCATGTCGCAGGGGAAACGACAATTATTCTGACAGTCTCTTGCCTTGAGCGTTCTTGGAGGGCAGCATTTACGCCAATCAGCGCTCGGATCGCGATCAGCATCGGGGGCGGGTCCCCTCAGAGAAGCCAGCGCCGCATCGTGCCCCATACGGGGACTTGGACAGGGCCGTTTACCTCACTCCTCCATGGCACTGGCATGGATACAGGAATACAAGAATACTCCGTACATCGTTGAGAGATCACAACAACGGTGTTGGCAAATGCCCAACGAGAACAGGGCCCGCTGCTCTGTGCCCTCCACCCCATCCACAGGACAGCCTAACTGAAGCTTGTCTGAAACTGTTGGAACTGGAATCCGACCGCATCAACTCCACAGCCCCTGTTGGGGCCTTTCCCTCCGCTTTAAAGAGCTGTCCTACGTGTCCTTTGTTTCAAATTCACTAGGTGACTCCAAAGGACGACCTACAGTCATGGCTCCCGATTTAAACTCCGTCCCGCCATCTCCACGCCCGCCCGCTGCTGCACCCGCTGCTGCACCCGATGCTCCGCCGTCCGCCTCGAGCTCTCCGGTTGTCTCACGGCGCGTATCGCAGGCCATGGGTCCTCCTCCGATCCCGATCACTTCCCCTTCGTCGAATGCCGCTGTTTCGGCGCCTGGGTCGGGTGATAACACGGGCGTTGGCGTTGGACCAGGTAAGGCTTCGTTGAGCACGGTTCAGACGGCATGGCTAAGAGACTGCAGGCCCCCTTCGTCATCCCCGTCCCATGACTGCTGCCGATCTACATTTGGTTCTGGAGAAGGAGCAGGAGGCGATGGTATGTTCCCTTTTGCGCTGGCCATCTGTGGCATGTCTCAAATAGTTTGCCTAAATGACGGGATATCAACAGGTCAATCGCTTGACAAGAGAGCTTTCCATGCTCCGCCAGCAGACAGCCTCGGTCGCGTCCACCGCATCGTCCACGTCGACCGGACTCAATGATCCCACCGACGCACTTCAGAGCTCCCAGTACCTCTCGGGCCCCAGCCATCCTACTTCGTCCCGCAGACATCGATCCTCCTCGAGCTTAAGTTCAAGCATCCCAGGCAGCGCCGCGGCGCGGGCAGCCAGTGTGACAAGTATTGCACCGTCGCGGGACACTGGTCTTCCTTCATCGCGCCCTTCCGGAGAATACCCTCGTGTGGGGCGCAGTCGAGAGCCCTCCATCACGTCTCCGCGACAACCTGCGTCTCCTTTGCTACCCCATGGCGATGTGTCTCATTCGTCCCAGTCCCAGGCGCACCGCAATTCGCTCTCGCAGTCTGCCGGAGCGGGAGCGCCTCCCGAAAATCCCCGTTCAACATCGTTCTCGTCGAGTCGCTACGAGGAGGCAGCGTACCATCGGGCGGAACTGGAAGCCATGAAACGAGAGAACGAGATGCTGCGTCGCCGCGTGAGAGAATTGGAACAGGCTCTCAAGGCATATCGAGAAGGCCAAGTGAACGACGACCCTACGGCCTCAGCTTCCAGCCTCGTGAGTGGGGTGAGAGATGTGTCGATTGAAGAGACGCAATGATATGACAGAATACTGTTCTCTTTTTTTTTCTTTTTCTTTTCTTTTAGTCTGTGTTGGGATGCGCGGGTTTACGGAATGATATGGATCTCGGTGTTTCTGAATTGGGCTTCTCGGGACGGCTTTGTTTTCTTGATGCAACTACTAGGCAGCTCCAGGTTAGGAACAGCAATGAATGACGACTTATGACACGGTATCTGCACCAATGGTTCCTCCAGGGATTCTTTCAGTCCGTGCCTCCACCGTTGGCTGTTTCACATGTGCGGCATGGCATGAGCATGGTGGCTCGGGTGTGGCTTGGAGACGGCGGGCAGCCCCTCCATACGTCATTTGTGGCGCAGCACGTCCCCGCTTGGCAGCCGCCAACGTGGGATGACAGGCCGCATCTGCATAAATCCAGCACACCTCCCATCGCCCCCAGGGAGGCCGTTCTGAAGTCCCAGCGCGTATTTCTATCTTACCAGCCTGCAATTCCTAAGTTTTCATCTATCCTCGCACGTCTAGTCGCCTTCCGTCACAATGACTGGAAACACCGTGGTCCACGTCTCGGGTATCGCTTCCTCCGTCACCGAGAAGGAGGTTCGCGACTTCTTCAGCTTCTGGTACGGTTGTCTTTTATTCAGCGTAGTTCTTGTTCTATCCTGTCTTGGTGCTGACTTCTTGACAGTGGAAAGATCACCAACTTGACTGTGACTCCGATCTCTGCCGAGGCGGACGCTCCCAAGTCGGCGACTGTAACCTTCGAGAAGGAAGCGTGAGTTTTGCTTTTCGTTGGTTTTCCGCTCAATGATTGCAATTGATACTAAATCGCGTGTAGGGCTGCAAAGACTGCTCTCCTTCTCGACAACACGCAACTGGGACCTTCTCCGGTGCATGTCGAGGCGGCACACAGCATTGATGAGATTGCTGGTTCACACGTGGCCAGCGCGTCCGAGGCCAAGGATGAGCACCAGCACGACATTGAGCAGGAGGACAAGCCGCGATCCCGCATCATCGCCGAGTACCTGGCTCACGGCTATGTGATCAGCGACCAGGCGATCCAGAAGGCCATCGCGTTAGACAACAAGCACGGCTTCTCGTCGCGCTTCACGACCGCTCTTGCCAACTTCGACAAGAAGTACGGTGCCACCGACAAGGCCAAGGGTCTTGACGAGAAGTACAAGATCACCGACCAGGCTGTGAGCCACTGGCGCGGTCTCCACTCCTACTTCGAGAAGGCACTCGACACGCCGACCGGTCGGAAGGTGCGAGAGTTCTACGTCAAGACCGACAAGCAGGTCCGCGACATTCACAATGAGGCTCGCCGACTGGCCGATCTGAAGAGCGGAAAGATTTCTGAGTCGGATTTGAGGCCTGCAGAGGCTCCAGCCTCTGCTGATGCTGCTGCTGCCTCGAGCGAGAAGGCTTAAACCTCTTATCGGACGGTTTCATTCTCTTGTTCTTCGCCGAATTGACTGTTTCAATTCTTAAGTGTATGATGATGGTTACGACACCGGATTCCCCTGACGTTCCCTATACCGTGTTTCTTGTACATAGAGGTAGTACATATTAGTATGACTACGGGTTATGAGCAAGATACATACCCAATGCGACTATTCGTATGCAGTCAATACAGACATGCCATAATCGTACGTATCGTATAGTCCTGGACGAGATCGCTTTTTTTTTACCCGTTTAGCAATAAATAAATAATCATGCCAACAACATAGCATCGGCCCCGAAACCCGCCAGACTTAGCATGTAACAGCAAGTTACCTAACTACAAATTACGAATCTCATATTACCAACCTCATAGACACAGGCTACATCGGAGTCATCTTAATATATAATATACTATTATATTATTCCGTCTTGCAGGACCGGATGAACAATATTAATATGCTATTCCCCAGCAACTGAGCTGACGTACCTAAATAGGTATGCATACTATTTAGCGGATAGGTAGATGTGTTGTGGCAGGGGAACAAATAAAAAAGACGTCATAATGAGAAACAGCCCCCTCCCCTTTGCCAACCAAGCAAACAGAAAAAAACTGGCATAATTAAGAAAACGTATGTATGTAATGTACCTATTGTGGAGGGTGGACATTAATATACTCCCTTCTTCTTTTCTGTCTTCATCTATTATAAGCCTTGTTTTTCTTTCTTTTTGCCTCAGAACAACTTACGAGGCAAAAACAAGAAAGTATATTATTACAAACATTCGAACGATCTTCTTTCACTATATTACTCCCACTACTACTACCACTCTGATAAACCATACTACCAGATACATATCAATCTTACCTAGTACCTAGGTAGGAAGCAAGCAAGCAAAGAAGGAAGGTACGATTCGTTTCGTTTCGTTCGTTCGTTCGTTCAGTTCCTTGCTATCATTCTCTCGCATCTCTTCTTCCCTTCTACCACCACCTACCCATCTACAGTTATAACTTACCCAACCCACCCACTATACATATACACGTAACTGACTTCCTGACAGTACCACCAGCACCACCACCACCACCACCTTCGCCAAAATCCTCAACCTACTCCTCCACACAATGTCCGCCCCCAAAGCCGGTCGGCAGTCTCCCGACCCCGAGAACCAGTCTGGTGCGCAGCAGCAGGACGTGCCCGGCTTGGGAAAAGTCCTTCCGGAGTATGCGCCGCCTGAGGGGGACGAGTACTCCAAGCAGAGCTCGGAGCGGACCAAGAGCGAGTTGAAGAGTAATCCGGTTCATCCGCTTGAGAAGGTGCAGGGGGAGAAGTGGAAGTGAATGAGTGACCAGAAAAGAAAATGTTGGAGGGGGAGGGATGGGGCAGTGGGATATGATATGTTGTCTGTATGTAGTGTGTGATGAGAAATATATAGTTGGCAGTGCATCTGGTTCCATCTGGCAACTGGCAGAGATCAGCCTTAAGATTACATGCTGCCGAACTTCGACGTAGCAGCATGCACATTCTGAGAGTACTAGAAATCACCTACAAGCAACACGCAGACTAGGACAGACGATTATCAAGGGAATCACTTCCAGGCTATCTAAGGCAATATGGCTAAGGTATGGTCCAACAAGAATATCCAGGGGAATCTGTGAAGGGAAATAGGGGAATATAAAACTAGGGCTGGTTCATATACTTTTGGGTGGACACAAAGACAGAACAATTCAATAACAAGGGGAGACAAAAATGCACCTGAATCATGGCCACGGTTATGTGACCAGTTCTTCCGAAGTGAAGAGAAGTGAATCGTGTGGCATCATTCCCAAAATGAAACAAACAAAAGAAATAGGCATTCATTCAAATCATAACATCCCGCGATACAGCCAAAAACCTTGATGTTGAACTTCTTATACTCGGTACACGCCCCTAGTTGGTGCCATTCGCCTGCAGACTGGCAGCAACAGCGGCCTCGGCATTTGCGGCAGCCAGGGCTTTCGCATCTGCCTCGTGGAACACAGACTCGATGATCTGCTGCTCCTCGGGATTCAAAATCTTCGTCAAGGTCTCGTACAATTGTGGCTGCTCTTGTTGAAGGTCTAACACCAGTCAGTTTCTGAGAGTCGACACTAGGGAGGACACACATACTGAGAAGAACATGTTTGAAAAGACCATATGGCTCAACTTTGTCTAACGGCGTCTCCAACAAGCTCTCCTCGTCCAACTCGTCATCATCGTCGTCAGCAAAAGAACCGAATTTCTGAGCCTGAATAAACAGTTAGTAACAGCTACGCACAGAGAGAGATATATAAAGGAGATGCCCACCTCTTGGTTGAGGAAATCCAGATAGGCCGTGCTCTCGTCGGGAACGTCGCCGTCCCCGCCGCCTTCGGCCTCGTCCTGGTCGGTCCACTCGACTTCGCCGTCCCAGTCATTGCCATCGTCTATATCGTCGCCTTCATCGTCAAACGTAAAGTCGGACTCCTTGGTTGCCTCCTCACGATCTACTCAACGTCAGCCGAATCCATGACAGCACAGAATAAGAGACATACGTTTGATGGCGGCTGGCAGGGTTTGGAACAGTCGAGTGACACCCTGCAGCAGTCTTGGCCAGCCCTGTTGAACACTGGCCGGAACCTCATCTGCCTTGAGAGTCAACAGCGAGCTAATCGCCGCGATAGACAACTTCTTGTCATGCACCCTCCGGAAGTTGTCAATGTTTGAGAACCATGTGCTGAAAAACTTGTTCGTCCAGCCCTTGGATTCCAGAACCTGGAGGGTTAGCCGAGGGTTGTAGTAGACAGCATTGATCACCATCTCCATCAGATGGATCCGGTAAGACTTCGTCTTGGCATCTCCGCTGTTGATCACATTCATCGCCAGCTCAATAAACATAGGGACGTATTGGTCCACATATCCGCGGAGATTCAGCATCACGGTTTCGGCAAGCTTGCAGCCGCATATTCTGTCCACGCCGCCCACCTTCTCGTCGTGGAAAATGTCCTCCACCATGCCTACTATCGCTCTGAGATAGGCAGGGTTCTGGATCAGCATGTCTGTACCGTAAGAAACGTAGTTGTCCAGGGCCGGCAGCATGTCTGCATCTAGAGTTAGCATCCTTACTCTATCTGGTGGTCATAAAATGGAAGACGGACCTTCAAGGTACAGCTCAGCACCGGATTTGAACGTCTTGTGAATAAGTTCAAAGGCCTGCCACATCGTCGGAGAGATAGACTTGGAGGCGAATGTGCAGCTGTCGACGATCTCGAAGATCTCATTGTACAGATCTGTCATATAAGTTAGTGTGGTCTCCAGAGGAGGGGG